GCCTAATAGATTCCAGTTTCGCAATTCATCACTTGTATAATGTATATGACGTTGATGACAATGCAGACATATTGTTATAAGATTTATAACATGATAAATCTCTACAAATCAATTATTTCATTGTCAGTTATAAACTGTTAACTTCCGACTTCATATGCTACTATATAGAAAATATAGGAGTACTTAATCTATATATATACATATATATTTCGTTGGTCGCTTTAAATAGTTGGCGTCGAAAGGAGTTCAATGACTTATAACAATATGAATTTCAAATCATTTTGAACATGGAAAATTACATATATTCAAAAAAAGCAAATAGGTAAAAGAAAGTCTTTCAAAAAAATTTATTTTAAGACTTTGGTAGAAATACAATATTTTGCGGAAATTATGAAATCTTATACTGAAATATTATTTCGTATACTAAATCGTATATTAAATAATAATTGTGAACTAAATTGTCACTCAAAATTAATTGATTCTTTTTAATGTTCTTATTAAAATTTTAACAAAAATTTACAAAAATTTGTCAAAAATTGATTTATTTAACAAATTTCAGTAAAAAATATATTTATTTAATAAATTTTATAAAAGCCATACTATAGAATAATTTAATTAAAAGATTATAATATTATAAATCTATCATACAATCTATTGTAAGATTGAGCTATTAAGATATTCACTTTTTGAAAAATTGCAACAAAACATTCAATATGCAAACACATCAATATTATGATATAATATATATATATATATATATACATGTATAATGTGATTGATTGAAATATAGTTTGATAGCCACATTTGATACATATAAAAGATTAGAGGATTAGAAGGTAAGCAATCAATTTATTAAATAATATGTTTAATTAGTAATATTAATTTTTCTTATGTATATTTAATATTATATAATATAATGTTATAAAAATATAAATAATTAATAATAATTATAAACTTTATATATATGTTACTATATATAATTATATAAATAATAATAATTAATCTTATTTTCAGATTTAAAAATAAAATAAAAGAAATCGAATGAAAAATAGAAAAATATGTAGATACATATATTGTATTCTACATTGTATTTTCTTTTTCAATAAAAAATTCTGTACAACGCAACATGTAGAAGTAATTAATTCAATTTTTTCTAAAAAAAGGAATAGTATTTTAAAAAACATGAAATCTGTTTTTTCATAATAAATTGGGACTCTAATTGCACCCTAATTTTATATATAACTACATATATTAAATACGTTAATATAGATATATTAATATATTAAATACGTTAATATAGATATATTAATATATAAATGTATATACATTTTATAAGAGTATAGATATTAAATATATTAAATATGATTGATATAATCAATTTTTGTATAAAACTTGATTTTTTAAGCTTAATCCTTTTTTTATAATAGAAAATAATGGAAAATAACGATCATATATGATCGAATAATATTGCAATCATCTATTTGATATATATATATATATATATATATATATATATATATATATATAAATACACCTAAATGCACGTGAAATTAAATGAGTCAAATAATTTTAGAACAAGAATACCGACGCTTCTGAATTCTACAACGAATTCTGAATTATCACCGACAACCTCGACGCAAGGCAGGACTTATGTTTATAGAACCAGAGTTCCTCGAAGGGATCCTGCGGATATAACGACACCCGTGTCCTCTCCGCTGCGAGAGAACGTTGGACGTGCTATCACAAAGAGAAGAGGGGCTGGTAAACATAATAAAGTACATGTTGTACGAGGTCACAAACTCGTAGCTAAATTCTTTCGACAACCGACATTTTGCACCTTTTGTAAAGATTTTTTATGGTAATTCCTCACTTTATATTGTATATAGACATTTTAATTTTTATAATAATTTTCATTTCTATGTATTTTTCGCTTTTTATTTCGCGCAAGTATATGTTCAAAATTTTCTGTAGTTTTAAATTGTATAATATACATTTTACATCATATATTTTATATCATATATATTATATATATATATATATATATTATATATATATATATATTATTTTATATCATATATATTATATATATATTATATATTTTATGTTAAGACAGTGAAGCATTTTTTAATTATTTATTTTTTATTCCAGGGGTTTCGGTAAACAAGGATATCAATGTCAAGGTAAACTTTTTTATTCTTTATTTAGCAAAGTTTATTAATTTAGTGAATTTATAAAATAATTTTTTTTTTCGTTACAGCGTGTCAAACTGCAGTACACAAGAAATGTCATGATAAATTATTAACTAAATGTCCGGAGAGTGGAAGAGAATCGGAAAATACAATAGTGAGTATTAGATGCTTGCAATGAAAAAATAAATATTATATAAAAGTGAACAGAATTTATATAAATAAAATGGTAATATTATTTCATTTCTATAAATGAATTTATAGAAATAAATGGAATAATATAAATATAAATGGAATAATATAAATATGAAATAATATTACTTGAGATAATTATTTATATATTATAATCTAAATGTAGTTTGTAATTGTTCAAAATTTTACATTCTTATACTTCAAAATTATTATTTGGAAAAAATTGCAAATATTTTTATTATATAATTTTAGGAGAGTTTTTCTGTTGTGGTATTTTAAATAGCGCTTTTGGAACATTTTATATATCTAAATTACATGTTTGTGTGCTATTATAGTATTTGAGGGAACGTTTCAAGATAGATGTGCCTCATAGATTTCGACTTCACACTTTTATGTCACCGACTTTCTGTGATCATTGTGGCTCAATGATGTATGGATTGTTTCGACAGGGTTTAAAATGCGACGGTAAGAGTACGAGGCTTATTAAAAATATATCTTTAACAATGTAAATTATATAATTAAAAGAGATTTTAGTGCATCTTGACTGGTTTAAATTATTCTATTTGCGTATTGATTGACGTGAATTAATCCGATATATATGACGTACGCATAATATTTTATTTAATTAATATGTATGCAGAAATATCATAACACAATCGCATTTTTATAATTTAGCATGTATAAACATGCTTCTTTTGCTTTGCATAAATACATACACACAGACACACACACACATCCGCTTAGATATTTAACATAAATTTTAAATATAAAAATTCTAAAAATTTAATTGCTAGAAAGCTTAGTGATTATATGTATTTTATGTTGCTGTTTATGTAATTTTTCATGCTTATATATGTCGAATATTATGATACAATATATATATTAATATACTAATAATAATATATTTATATATTATTGTATAATTTATGAAAATATAAAAATGTGATATTTTATCGGCAAAAAGTCTACTCTATGAGTCCCCTATAAGATCTCTTGAGAGATCGTTTTAAATAAATGAACTTGTTTAAAGTGCAAAACAATTTTGCTAGAATACTAATAAGAATAAGAATATTAATTTCTTTTTTCGTGTAATATAAAAAAATACATACTTTGTAAAATATATTTTGTAAAGTAAGAAATCTATTTTTTCTATTACAGAAAATAAAATCAATCATTTGCACTAGGAAAAAAATTCAGTCTTGTTAGCAAAATTGTTTCGTTGAGTATTTATTTATAGTAATTATAAAATATTCATTTATAGTGTTTATAATATTTATTTATAGTAATAAAATATCTTGTTTTATACGTAAAACATATGAAATATCTTGTTTATAACAAAAAACTTGGTTGTTTTTGTCAAAAATAATTTTTCATTGAGTCAATTCTATTAAATAATTTAGTTATTACATTTTATTTATAAAAATGAAATATTTCAATTAAGATAATATATATCAAATGTATATCAAATTTTATCTGTATACACTAAATATTTTATTATAAAATTATAATATTATAATATTATTATAAAAATATAAAATATTTATATTTTTATATAAATATTTATATTTTTATATAAATATTTATATTTATTTATTTTCTATTTATACAAAAATGACAATTTTGTATAATAACTTAAATAATTTACTTATATATGTTTTGTTTGTATAGATAATTGTTAAAAGTTTTATATTTTATTGTAATTATTTAATTATTATATATTTAATTATTAGTTCTTATTCATAAAAATTCATATTTAAAATAAAAAAGCACAGATTTTTAAAGAAAAATATATCTATACAAACATGAATAATCCAATTCGGTTGGTTTCGAGTTCAATTTCGAACGCTCACTTACTTTAAGGTATTTCAGTTGAAGATGCCTTCCAGAAGGCGTCCTTTCTTTCGGTGACATTTAAACACATGCAATGTGTGAAATGATTTTATATATTACTTTTTTATGTAAATTACGAAATCATTAATCCTTAAATTTTTGAATATAATATTAAAAATAATCCAATTTCTTTGGTTTATAAAACAAAGTTGATTTAAACATTTTTGCTTAACATTAAAATTTATTTTATCACGATTGGTTCATCTAAAAAAAACAATGTTAAAAGCAATGTAAATGTTAAAAGAAAGAAATGTAAAAAATACAAATATTTTCTTATGATAACCAAATAATTTATATATATATATATATATATATATATATATATGTATATACATTCAAAATTTTAAGTTGTCACAAGCAGAATTTTATGTCACAACCAAATATTTTTTCTCTAATATAAATATAGAAATTGTAAATATAGAAAAAAATACAAATGAAATATATTTACCTGTTTTATACTATTAATTATTACTTAGTTTTTCAATTTTTATTCATAAACGTATTACATTAAAAAAAAATTTCTAACGATTTTATTAGTATTAGTAATTATTATTTCCACAACATTTAAAAGGATGTGCAAATAACTAATTGTTCCGCATTCTTTACTGTTGCAACTGTCAGCTATAACAGCTGCTGTGCTCGCGGTTTATTAGAGTCTAGGTAGTATAGTTAGCCGCACTGGGAAGCTTCATATACTAGAATTCTATTATTACATCGGGTCGCCGGCTTAAACTCAGTTGGTCTTGGCTCCCTGAACCGTGAGAACGGGTTTGCTCTTCGCACACCTGAGAGAGTGAATTTTCATGATCTCCGATCTTAAAAGCGCAACGCAATTTGGTCATCTTTTCGGCCAGCACATTTTCAATTATTTCTTGCCTTTCATCAATCGTTATCGTTGATCGGCAATAGTTATCAAATATTATTGTACAGTGTAAACAGAAGGTGTAAAAATGCCATACTACAACGATGTCCCGTATTACTATGGAGGAGCATCTTATGCGAACCATAGCTCGTTAATGACAGGCACGGGACGGTAAGAATAAAATTTTTATCTTAATAATTTTTATAAAATTTTGTGATACTATATTAATGTTATTTTGCATTTTATTTATATTTATATTATTTAGTATATCAAAATTTTTTTTTCTCATTAGATCAATTATGCATTTGTTTTTTTTGAAAATGTTGATTGTGGTGGAAATTTTTCTTAGAGATCGTTGTACATGTTATGTATAAAAAGTTTTACACAATAATATTTTCGTAGTAGTACGTAACAGGTCGTATAATTACAGCGTGTAAATTTTTTTCCTCGTCCTTTATCTTTTAAACTAAAGATTTTGGCAAGACCAGTCGGTGACTCATATGACTCTTCAAATCGTGTGATGTATGTAGCGATAAATTTAAAAGTTATCTGAAATCTAATTTTACGTCTTGTTATAAGACAAAAAATGAATATCGTAAAATGTTGTTATTTGTATTACTAGTATCATATTTTGCTCATAATTATCTTATAAAAAATGCTATCTGTCAATACTTACTCTTTGCTTTTTTTTAACTTATTGCGTCTAAGAAAGACAAAACATAAGAAAGATGAAAAAAACAAATATAAAAAACATAAAGATAAATGTAACAAAAATAAGAAAAACATAAATAAATTTTTTTTCGAGATCTTACATAATCAAAAAAAAATTTTTTTTAGTAATATTATGCATAAAAATAGCATAACTTTTTACTTTGATCGTACGTACTATCAAACGAACCATGTGTATTTAATGTTTGTGAAACGTTTTCACTCGACATAAAACGAAACAAAAATAACCATTTTCGACATTGAAGTAAATATACGGTAATCGAAATACGATTAAAAGGCTGATCAATCGATATGAATGTATATGTACATATATAAGCCTTTTATCAGATAAATGAGATGTTACTAATCATATATAGATTCTTAAGTTCTAATTAAATTTGTTAATTATTGTTTTATTATGTAATTTTTATACTCTTTTTTAAAATATAATTTTATAAAATTACGATAAATTAATAAATTATTTATATTATAACAATATTTTTTCATACAATGACTCGAAGATCTTAAGAGTCAATTTTGCATACGACATAATTTAAATGTCCAAAAGAACTCATTAAACGATTTACAAGAAAAGTATCCGCCAAAATAATAATAAATGTATACAAAATGAATTAGAATTGCGATTACAAATAACCATAATGTTCATGCAGAACACCTTTTCATACTCCGCTGACTTCGCGTTTCTCGCCGCATCTATCGACTATTTCGGAATCTCCGCTCAATCAGTTGCATCGTTTTGCTATAAGATCTCCGCCGATATCCGTAAGACGTGTAAGACAAGTAATAGATACGAAAGATATCGACGTTTCATCGCCAAGAATTCTTTCACACAATGGAAATCGTCCAAGGAATCGTTTGCAACGTAATCGCCCGACCATTAAGATTAGATCACAAGCTTTGAAGGATAATCCTGTGTTACGAGAGCACAATGAAAAGCACGAGAAATCAGTTGGTGAGCTCTTGATGGAGAAGTTCTTCATTAAGGATACGAAATTGGATGGCGATGGAAATCAACAAATACGCTTATATCATCAAGTCAGCTTGAATCAGCTTGAAAATCCTCAAGAACAAGAGGCTATACAGAAACGAATCACTCGCAGATTTACACGACGCAGATCTTCCGCCGATTTGCAACTTAGTCCTGAACAATTGCAACAAAAAGTCGCGTATGCGGAAGTTCAAGCGAAGGTCTTGGACAGTCTTGTGGCTGAAGAACAAGCTCAGATCGAGAATGAGATACGTCAAGGTACTTTGATGAGAAAGGATACAACGACGAGAGGCTCGATCGCCCACTCTTATTATACCGATTCCGATACGACTCAAGAAGAAAAGAAAACGGCAAGACTAAAGAAAACTATGAATAAGACGAAAAAAAGGAAGAAATCAACTATCGATAATTCGTGGCTAGCTGATAAAATCGATAATAGGCAATCGAGTACCTGTAATGAAGTGTCAACTGATTCGGAGATCGAAGAAAAAAGTAATGGGCCGAAACCACAGATGTATAAGATTGAAGCTTGTAACAGCACTGGGGATTTCTCTACGATTTGGATGAATGCGAGCTCCGAAAACGAGAAGTGTAAATCAATGGTCGAGCAATTTAGGGAGAGCGTGAAGATTCCTATTCCCAGGACATTTGAAACTGAAAATAAGATAGACACTTTTCCGAAAAATGTGGACGAAACGGAAATGCAAATAGTGTTACCTATGCGAAAACCTTATGTAAAGGATTCATCAAGGAACAGCGTATACTTGACAGTGAGAAAACCTACAGAAAAACTCGAAGAGAAACTTGAGGAAATCGAGAGACTTAATAACAATGAAAATCAATTAAACCTCACAAATGGTTTCGTTGATGTGAAAAAAGATGATGAATTAAATAGCTTAACGAATAAAGATTCACTGGAATCGAATGACGATGTACAAACAATAAATGACATTAAAGATGCAACGTTAAAGAAAATTCCAGATAAGCCCAAGAAAATAAAATCTTCGGCAAAAACGAATATTTATTCCACATTGGATAATAATTTAAATTTAGAAAGTAAAGATTCATTGAAATCAAACGACGATGTACAAACGACAAATGATATTAAGGATATAAAGAAAATTTCAGATGAGTCTAAAAAACTGGAATTTTCAGCAAGAAAGAATATTTATTCTGCGTTGGATAATAATTTAGATATAGAAAACAAAGATTCACCGAAATCGAATGACGATGTGAAAACGACAAATGATAATAAGGATATAACGTTGGAGAAAATTTCAGATAAATCTAAGAAAGTGGAGTCTTCGACGAAAAAGAATATTTATTCCGCATTGGATAATAACTTAAATTTAGAAAGTAAAGAATTGAAATCAAACGACATACAAACAACAAATGATATTAAGGATATAAAGGAAATTTCAGATAAATCTAAGAAACTGGAATCTTCGTCAAAAAAGAATATTCATTCCACATTGGATAACAACTTAAATATAGAGGACAAAAATTCACTGAAATTAAATGACGACGTGCAAATGACAAATGAAGTTAAGGATATAACGTTAAAGAAAATTCCAGATAAGCCCAAGAAAATAAAATCTTCGGCAAAAACGAATATTTATTCCGCATTGGATAATAACTTAAATTTAGAAAGTAAAGAATTGAAATCAAACGACATACAAACGACAAATGATATTAAGGATATAAAGGAAATTTCAGATGAATCTAAGAAACTGGAACCTTCGTCAAAAAAGAATATTTATTCCACATTGGATAACAACTTAAATATAGGTGACAAAAATTCACTGAAATCGAACGACGACGTGCAAATGACAAGTGATGTTAAGGATATAACGTTAAAGAAAATTTCAGATGAGTCTAAGCCTAAGCAATTGGAATCTTTGGCAAAAAAGAATATTTATTCTACGTTGGATAAGAACTTAAATATAGAGGATAAAACTTCACTGAAATCGAACGACGACGTGCAAATGACAAATGAAGTTAAGGATATAACATTAAAGAAAATTCCAGATAAGTTTAAGAAAATGGAATGGACAAAAAAGAATTCCACATTGGACAATAATTTAAATACAGGAAACAAGATTGCCTCAAAAACAAATAGTGATGTACAAGAAAATGATAAAAACGATGCACCACTTTCGAAAAGTGCTGAGAAATCTATGCAATCAAGTGTTCCAACATTTATTTCGACGAAAAACGATGCACAGAACCATGATGCGCAAATAAAACAATTGCCCAAAAATATTGTCACGAATATAAAAAAGGATGAAAGTGAAAAGAATGATACTGTAATTACTGCTATGAAAAACCTCGATTGCCTAAAAACTGTTTCAACTATCGAGATGCCGGGGGATCTCACCACTAAAGATTCTTTCACTTCAAAAACAGACAAATTTACGGAAGAGAAAGATAAACTAAAAATGTCGGCGACATTGCGCGATGCTACAAAACGAAGCGTTGTCTCGAGTGAAGCTAACGATAATGCTGGTGAAAACAGCGCCAATAGTGCGACGTGTCATCTGCCAAAACCGTCTAAAATTAATACAGATAGAAATAATGTCATAGAAGCGCCAGAGCTTTCGTTACGAGAGACGGCACAGTATCTGGCAAATCCACCGGAAAGTGTTGAAGCGGTTCTTACGTTGCCGGAAAAGAAGATGAACAAAGAATCGAACTTGGCAAAGACTCCTTTCTTTAATGCTCCAAAGAAAATCAATAGCGTAGACGCAAATAAATCGACTTTGAAAATCGGCGTAACTCAAACCAATGACATCGCCAATTTGGTAACTAAAGGAATGACCTTGCTCAAGGAAATGAACGATGAAGTGCGTAGTACCGACAGTAATGAGGAAATGAAATCAATAACGGAGCCGTCAAAAGTCGATCTGAACACTGAAACGCCAAAGAACGAAATAGAAAAGCCTAATGGAAATATATCACGCAAATTATCTATAAAAATGATTAATCCATCAAAAATTGAGACGGAAATAATTACTACCAAAAAATTAGAACCGAAAGAATCGAATCTATTAAAGACTGATATTAAAAAAATAGATAATGTCGATATAGAAAAAGATTCGGGAGATTCCGACTTATCCAATCTCAAAAATAACGTGCCAAAACTCGATGCTGCAAAATCCAAATTCAAAACGAAAACTTTTCCAAAGACAGCTGCGAATGAAACCGATAAAATGGTTTCATCGAAAATTAAGAAAGATTCAGATATATTTAAAATAACAAAAAGTAATGATGATAAATCCATATTATTTCCTCAGAAAGAACGAGATATGCCGAGAAATTTAAAAAAAGGTATTCCTGTTGATTCTAAAAAATCGATGAATGATTGCTTATCGAATAACATTTCCAATGTGCAACAGTCTGCATCCGTTAATGAAAAAACTGCGGATAAAATACCTATTAAAAAAGAGCCGACAAAACCTCTAAATAAAATAACAGAAGAACCGACAAAACTTCTAAGTAAAATAACTGAGAAGAAGCCAGTGACAGTCGACGTAAGTTACGATAAATCACAGGAGAAAGGTGGGCAGTTATCCAAGAGCGCTTCCACTGAATCTATTGATTTTTGGAGCGAGATCAAAGCGGCGAGTAGTCCTGAAGGGATGAAATCGAAACAAGAAAGCGGATTTTCTTTTTACGAGACTACGATCACGAAAGTTGAAAACATAGATCCAACGAATTGCATGTTTAATGATTCATTGGCAGAAAAGAAGTCGTTGATAACATCAGTAAAGAATTCTGATGATAAGAAAAATAAAACAAACGTCGAAAAAGGCGTAATAGAATTCAGTAATTCAATGATCGAGCCAAGTAACGTTGTTGTAGAAGAAGAAAAGGAAAAGGAGAAAACTATTGTGGAACCTCCAAGAGTGAAAAATAAAGAAACTGCAAAACTCATTAAAACAACAGAAAAAACTGCCCCGAAGGTGCTGTTAAAAAAGAAGAAAAATCTCTCAATAGCAATCGGTGCCAAAGATTCGAATTCGACTGTGAAGAAGGCTCCCCTAAAGCACGATTCCGCGATTTCAATACAACCCGACTCTACAACACCTGATGCGACAACTGTTGCAGCTTCGGAAGTATCTACTTCAGTACCCGAAGTCACGATACCTATAATAAATATAATCGAAGAATGTAACGAAGACTTTAACAGCCACAAAATCGATGACGAGAATTCCAAGACTCCAACGAACGAACCATCATCCGATCTTTTCCTGACTGCGACAATCTCAAAATGGAGCAATCAGGACAATCTGACGAACTCTGACGATGTGGAGACTCCGGTCGTATCGGAAGAGACCAGTTTGGTCGGCAGTCCTATCATTAGTCCGTCATCTGTCAAGACAAAGCATTCGACAAAGAAAAAGAAGACGTCAACTAAGAAAACGTCAACGAAAAGCGAGAAAGAAGTGAAGATTCGTAGCAACGAATCGACGATAACGAGTCAACAGAAGACGCTTATTCCTGAAAAGCAGTTCTCAGCGAAACCGTCGCCTAATTCCAGTCCGAGGAACACACCTTCGCAACGTCCGCTCGATCTCATCAGGATGTTCTACACAACACCATCGGCGTTGCTCACAGCCACGCCGAGAGATCTCTCCAAGATTAGAAGAGCGAAGATCAAGAAGAGGCGACATCAATTGAAAACACCATCTGTCAGTAGTGATAGTACCGGAAGTACAACGAGCACTGCCACAACGGGAAGTACAGACGGAAGCAGATCGACTTGCGTCGAACTAGACGATGATTCTGAGCACAAGAACTCGACAAGGAGCAACGATTCTGGATTTGACGGTTCACCAAGAATCTTGAGTATTTATTTTGCGCTTATCTACGTGTCCCAATTTTACTATTGAAGGTGTATCCAGACAGTTTCAAATATTCTATCTATCTTCACAATTGATAAAAAATATTATTTGAATTGATTGAAGTGATCTTAATAATAGGACATTCGGAAAATGTCTGGAAATACTAACGCGATGTTAATATTAATTTGCTAATTGATGTGTGAATGTTTCTATTATTTGTTAATAGTAATTGTCTGATAATAATTTTGCATGCGAGTGTATGTGTTACAAAATTTATACACAAAAGCCTACCTAAATTATAATTATTATGCGAAAGTTTCAAAAATATTTATAAATCTATGCCTGGATTGCATTTTGTAATTAATGTTAATTAACATTAATGTGTTTATATGTTTTTTTAAATAACACTTTAAATTACACTTTAAACAGAATCACTTCCACACATTTTTGTTTTTAAATCAATAAAAATATACGCACAAATAAATTACCGCTCAAGACGTAAGAAAATTCTGTCGAAAAGTTTGTCAGAAATATTTGCCGAGCTTGCACATTGCAAATGAAATTCATAAATTCAATAAAGCAAGTCAAAAGCTTTTCTTTTAATACTTCAGATTATTTTCACAAACTTTTTATTTTTCTGTATTTCATCGATATGTATTTTATCGACATGCTAATGTCTCAAATAGTGGAAGCAATGATCGCGATGATCTATACATCATCTGCGTATGTTTTTTTCTAACACTTTTAAAATAATGTTATAAAATCGTTATCATAATATCTATGATTTACAGTTTAGCACTTCATTTATATAAAAGAATATAATAGTCTAGATAGGATGTAAACTGATTTATTTATCAGTATATATTTCATATTGATAAAAAAATGTTATAAACATAAGTTGACAAATTCTATTTCCGCGTATTCTTTCATTATAAAGATTAAAATTATAAATTAATAGAAAAATTTCTTGATTCAAATATATGTATATAAATTTTCACGAATATATACCAATCATAATTACAAAAGTGTATAAACTACAAAAATATGTACTATAAATCATTTATAAATTATTAGAGAAATAATATTGACATATTCTATTTAACATAAACATTTCTAGTTCACTAGTTTTTTTAAATTTAGCAAAATATCAAAATATCTAATTTGAAATTTCATTCTAAGTATTCAAATAATCTCTTTACGCGACAATTTAGTAAATATATATGTGTAATGTGTGAAAAAAATATCGCGAGTAACTAAATAAAAAATTAATTCAAAAATTAAATTCGGCGAGATGACCTCTTTTGCCCTTATTTTTATATACTTTTATATAAAAATAAGTTAAAATGTTTTCAATACTTTGCCGTTTTTTTGGTTTTATTATAAATTGTATAATATCATATATATCCATTCGTTATAATATCATATATATATGTGTATGATAACGTGTATGATTATATTATACTATTATATACAGCACTATTATATAATAGCACGCGTAATAAATCGAATCTGCTGTTCACGCCATTATAAAGCATCAAAAAAAGTTATATTAGGCGGATTTTTAAGAGGCATATTTTTATCGCTCTGCAATAACACATTCCTATAGATTGTGACATGGCCTGCCATAAGAAGTGCGAAAAGCTAACTGGAAATCTATGTGGATTAAACCAAAAACTAGTCGCGGAAGCGTTGCAAGCTTTGAAGAGAGGTGAGTAGTGCTCCAAATATCTTTCGCTGTCCACTTAATTGCAACTTTTCAAGAAGTATATGGTACTTTTCGGATTTTGATGTTCTCTTTAGTACCAATGACAATAGCAGAGGCAATATTGGACAATTAGTAAGCAATCATATAAAGAGTTTCCTTCCTTGATACACGAAATCTTGACGTTCTTGACATATACATATAAGTATTATACACACATATACATATAAGTATTATACACACATGACTTGTATAGACATTTTTTTATATTTTTAACATTAATATTTTCAAAAACAGTCAAACGGTTCTAATGATACAAATCATTGATTGAAAATAAACTTATATGGTATTAAATATGGTTGTTAATGTATATTATGATCGAAAAATATAACAAAATATAGTAACTACTATAAACGTTGGTATATTAATTATTTTATTAAGAAGGTCCGCACGAGAATTAAGATATTTGCATGAATTATTATTATTATATATTTCTTGATCAAATATTAATTAACAACCGCATTTAGCTCCATTTAATTTTTAATAATTGATTAATATTTTCATGTTCGTTATATGTAGGAGTTGGAATCAAGTTACTTATCTATCAAATTGATTGCATGACTAAGTATGAAGAACAACAAATTTTAATGCATAATTACAAATGCGTGTTTGAGTTTATCTTATTAAAAAAAACAAATTGAAAATGAATGATTATCGTTTATCCTTAGCACCTTCGCAATCATCGGACAATCAGCGAAACTCAGATATCTCGGAACGTTTTCCAAGCGGTCGGATAACGCCCCCAGCGACGAACTTACCAAGGTTCAAGAAATATGCCGTTACAGATTTTAATTTTCTCAAAGTAAGTTTAAATAGATCTCATAATTATTTATAATTTTAATAACAATAAAATACTCCCACGCGAATTATCTTCAATATGCTCTAATCTGTATATTTCTGTTCGATCACATACGTTTTTGATCTCTTATTTATTAAATATTTATTTTCTATTTGTTCACTTATTGCAATGAAAGTTATGCGTTCTTTAACCGGTTCCAAAAATTCACAACTATTCCTAGAGCATATTACGTATTTTATGTATATAATCGTATACGCCTACATGTATGAGCACGTGAACGACGAAGTGTTATAATAAAAATAAATTTCGCATTTTGTTTTCGCAATTGTTATATATTTTGAATACTTGAATTGATTTTCCGTAAAATCAACGAATATGAGAGAAAAATAAAAAATAAATAATTGTCAGGGCCGTTTTTAAAGGTGTGGAGGCCTTGGGGCAACGAAGAGATGAAGACCCCTAACTATTTTTGAGCCAAAATCAAATAGAAATTTTTACGTTGTTTAAATAATTTATTGCTAAATAACAAGGTCAAGCAACATACATAATGTTGTGGAGGCCCCTCTCTTGTGAAGGCCCCTGGGCCCTTCAATCCCTGTTGCCCCTCCCCCCTACCCCCTAAACCGGCCCTGATAATTGTGAAAAAATTGTGGTAGGAAATCTTTCTTGTTGTTTATATCGTTTTCCTCTTTGTAAAAATAAGCCTAATTATTTGAAAGTATACCTTTTCGTCATTTATTTTCAAAAAAAGTGAATTAAAAAAATTTAATGATTTTTTAAAATCATGCATTGAAATGTCAGCTTTTAGAATGTGTATATATTTTATAGCTTAGGAATAATGATTTGTATTGAAAAACAAAATTATGATTTGTTTGAAAAACAAAAACGTCATCTACTGCAGAAATCGACATTAATTTTTGGCCAACTCCATAACTTGACGTAAAGTTTACGTAGTTCATGTTGAGTTTTGAATAAGCTATTTTAGTCTCTGATGCATGTTATAAAACATTCTCTTTCGCACATGTACATACATATATATACATATATATATATATACATATATATAAGTATTTTTTTAATCAGTATGTACACTAGATCAATAGTACACTAATTTATGTCAAAAAAATCAATATTCGCTTTATATGATTCTATTAGGAAAAATAAATCTTTTTTTTTCTTCTAAATAAGATATAATAGAAATTATACATATAATCTCATACTTTTTGAATCGCTGAATAAGATTGTAACATTTTTGTTTAAAATCCTGAGAAAGTGATCAAAATTTATCTTAAAATAAATTAAATAATTGAAATAAGTCTCTTAAGATTGAAATATATAAATCTCTTTATTAATCTATAATAATGACGATTTTATATATTCCTATTATTTAATTATTTAGTTCCAATTATTTAATTATTATAGTTTATTCTTTTTAAAAAATAAGAAAATGTATCAAAATTAAATATCTTAGGAATAAGCTTAACCTATAGTAAATCTATAGTAAAATCAATATGACAATTAAGAATGAAAGATAATCAATTTTCTTAATCAAAGAATTTTAATTCTCATGCGACAAACTTAAAGGTTATTTTTAAATAAATTTTTAAATAAATTTTTAAATAAATTCTGATCTTATTTCACAGGTCTTGGGTAAAGGTAGCTTTGGTAAAGTCTTACTAGCTGAATTGTGCGGGACGGAATGCCTGTACGCAGTAAAATGTCTAAAGAAAGACGTCGTTCTCGAGGATGACGATGTCGAGTGCACGTTAATTGAGAGAAAGGTTCTCACGCTGGCAACGAGACATCCGTATCTCTGTCATCTATTCTGCACCTTCCAGACCAATTCGCATCTCTTCTTCGTTATGGAATACCTTAATGGAGGTGATTTGATGTTTCACATACAAAAGTCCGGTCGATTTCCCGAGGCTCGCGCACGTTTTTATGCTGCCGAAATATGGTCTGGACTAAATTTTCTACACAAGAAAGGCATCGTTTACCGGGATCTCAAGTTGGACAATGTATTGCTCGACTTCGAAGGCCATATTCGAATTGCAGACTTTGGGATGTGTAAGCTTCAAATCTTCTTAGATAGAACGGCCGATACGTTTTGTGGTACGCCAGACTACATGGCACCAGAGGTATATTTCATCATTCTCTTGAAATTTATTTTTATTTTCTCCAGGTGATAGTTATTTAATAGGTATAAATTTATTTATATTTACAGATTATAAAAGGACTTAAATATAATCACGCCGTAGATTGGTGGTCTTATGGTGTTTTATTATACGAAATGTTAACCGGCCAGTCACCATTTTCTGGGTGCGACGAGGACGAACTATTTTGGAGCATTTGCAACGAACGGCCATTTATACCTCGGTATCTGAGTCAAGAAGCTAGCGATATGCTCATCTGTTTATTGGAGAAGGATTCTGCGAAAAGGCCACCTAGTCATGAAATTGCTATGCATGCTTTCTTTCAGGTAATCCACTCACTATGGCCTGTTACAGCAGAAAGATATCACGCATGTAGTTTCTCAAATTAATTTGCATTTTCAACTTCACAGCATTTGCCTTGGGATCGATTAGAGAGGAGACAATTAGAACCGCCATTTAAGCCCGCGATCGATCACACCTTAGATACAAAATATTTCGACACAGCATTCACAACTGAACGTCCAAGACTCACGCCGGTACCCGAACAGATTTTGACTTCGATGGATCAAGGTGTTTTCCGTGGATTCTCCTATACGAATCCAAACGCGACAGACTGATGTGTATCAAGCGGGAAATGATGCTATATGCATAATGTTATAAATTTAACAGATTAATATCTGTAATTTTCTTCCTCGAAAACTTTCTTGTTTTGCATAAAAACGAGAATGTATTACCGTTTTTTTGGATTCGTATAAAATTACTATTATATAATAAAAAATATACGAATCATTTTAAAGGCATATGTTTGTGCAAATGAATTACAAGGAAGGAATAATATATAATTAAATAATAATAATATATAACATTTTGAAAATAAATATACAGAATGATAATTAGGATTACTGAAACTATATAACTATTATTTGAAACAATTGAATAGATTTAAAAAAATTAAACTAGTTAGAGTACAAGAAACTTGTCAATTTTATCAGCATACAGTGCGAAAATTATATAAAACAATTTGATAATCTGAATTGATCTATTATTCATTACCGTTTTTATACTCTCATTTTAAATGAAAAATTTGATTATCAAAATTTAATTATTTTATGTTTATATAATTTTAGTTCTGAATGCTAATAAAATTAACAAATTTTCTATATTTAAAACAATTAATTTTTTTTTATTTGGTTCTAAATAATAGCCGAATAATTTCCGTAATTTCCTAGTTGCTATCTTATCTAGCTATATAAAAATTACATCGGTGAATGTACAGATGTAAGTTAATAAGCAAAGCAATTATTCATGAATAGTTTTATATATTTTGTTGGTACATACATGTACATATATAATTATATATATATATATATATATATATATATATATATTGTATATAATTAGTTATGTAAAGTATAAAAAAACATACTTTTTTTATTCTATAAAGATATTTCTTGCACACTCGAAAACAGAATATCCTAATACATGAATTTAAGCGCATATCGGAGATATGGAAAATGCATATCAATATAAATTCATGTGTTAAAAGACATTCTTTGTATCTGTTTGATACAAAGAATATAATTAGTAATATATATATATGAATAAATATATAAAATATATTCAACTTCATAAATAATTTTTTTGTTTTTTATTTTTGTCAAGATATATGTAAATATGATTGAAAAATTAATTAATAATGCAGATGTAAACGGTTAGCTTAACATAAGATTGTATTTCTGTAGGACAATAAGCGTATAAGAATATATAAATTTCTATACGGTTTCTATAAGTTTCTATACGGATAATAAGCGTATAAGAATATATAAATTTTTATATTGTAGACAAAGAGAGAGAGCATAATAGAGTATAATTTTTACATACAATTAAATATTTATTTAGTTCAGTGATCTGCTTGCGTTGTTGTGATCAGATTGTTCCTATATATAATCTGATTTACTTAATTAAATGTATCCTATACTTAGTCTATTAGTAAGTTAAAGAAAAGTTTTTCTGTTCATTATTTAAATATTTAAAATATCGATTATATAAATCAATTGGAAAAATATTAAAAAGTAAATTAGAAATAATTTTTAAATATATATGTGTTCATCAGTATATAAATTAAATATAATTTTAAGCAATCATGTAATAGAAATATACATAGGACAAAATGCTTTAATTTCAAGAGTAAAAGAAACCATATGTATTCAAAATAAATTGCGTGTAAATATATGCAGATATTTTATCAAATGTGTAAAATGCATTTATTTACACTCAATTTTGAATTTATTATATCTAAATGTAATGCACGCACACATATACACACATCGTACCTGTGAATTTATAAATTATTATTGTTTTATATTATATCTAAATTTTATTAATTATATATTATTTATTTTTTTCTGCATTCTCTCATTAAGCAAGCGAAAAGTATTGATCACTTTTATTCTGTTATACATTTCAACGCAATGCGTAATTGTTTCTTTACTTGCACAGTCCTAAGTTTCGACCATATATTATTGCAATTAGGTTATTAATATGTGATGTGCTTTATTATTTTAACTAGTTATGCAATCTCTAATTTTTTTCTTTAAATGAATACTCGCTTATATTTGTATCTTTATATCTGTTTTTGTATTACTTTTTATTCCTCGATCAACTTCCTTTTATTCTTCCTATATTTAAAACTCAGCTTTTTATTTCTTCCTTTAAGAATAATATTTTTAATGAATAATAAATCATTTTATTAACTCTTTGATTCTCTTGCGATTCGTTATTTTTTCAGATCATGTATTCTTTTGCTCGCATTTATTTTGCTCACTGTGCATGTTAATTTCAAATTATTAAGAAATTGACAAATATATATTTTCACTGTAGAGCCCTTTATATAAATATCGCATATGGAAAAAAATATAAGAAATAATAATTTATTAAATAAATTAATAAATATATGTATAGTAATATTTTTTGAATATTTTTGCTTTTATAAATTCATAATTAAATAATTTTTAATAATAAAATAAATAAACTAATAAACTAACAAAATAATAAAATGATAAAATATTTTTATAACAAGAATATAACAAATCTTAAGGACAAAGATGGTTTGGAACAGTTTTGAGAAAATTTGTATATATAATATAATTTATACAATTTGTACAAAATCATGAAATGATAGAGAGTGTGAGGACAATTTAAATAGAAAAAGGTGAGAGACACACACGGAATGTATTAAAGAATGAGAAATTAAAATTAGAAATTAAAAAAAAAGGAAGATGATAATATACAATAATAAAGAGCAAGAATTAGAAGAATCGGTAAGTAATCTTAGATTTAAAAATCTTACATTTAACTTTTTTATTAGAAGATTCCAATATTTTTGTATTCATGATTACTTGACATAGATGCGCATTTCGTAAAAAAAAATATTGTTTTTTTTTTCAAAGGAAGAAAATAAAATAAAAATATATTTATTCTTCTTTATGACTCATGCTTGAATCGACTGACTTGTGACACAATTAATATGTTTACAGGATATATATATAGTGAAATCTATTTGGAGTGCTTATGGTGCTTGAGTGCAGGCATTTCAGATGAATGCAGCTGAGCCTAAGATTTAATGAGAAGCACAATCTCATTTAACGCTATTGCGACTGCGAAGCGTCCGTACAGGGCCGCATAACGTTCTTATATGAAGTGAAGATACGGATGTCATCATATGTATAAATAGATCCGTTCGTCTGCACAGTGATACGGCCCTATATTGAAGGAGTTATTTTTGAAAGCCACATCGTGAGTCGTTATAGCTCTGCACTCAGTTCTAAGGAGTTTCGTTCGTGGTAAGAGCGCGGCGGTTTCACGCTGCGCTAGAGTTGTCGAACAAAGACAACTTGTTTACCCCGTGAGCAAAAAGAATCGTTGATTGTGCCACTAAGATCTGATCTTTTATTTATTCTATTGCTTCTGTCAGTGAAGGATTTAATTTTTTTCTAATTAAATCAGTACCTCGAAAACTCATATATATATATATATATCTTTGATCTCCACACGAGTGTTAGCTTCGGTAAATTTATTATTAGATGTTAAAAAGTAGCTAAGGAAGCAAATACTCTTATATAAAAATTGTTATATAAATTTTTTGTATAACAATCGACGTTAATCTAGAACATGCTCTTTATTCGAGGAGATGTATAATGTAGAATGTATAATGTAGAATGTTTGTATATTTATATAAGTCGACAAGGAAGAAGATTGTATTTTAAAGAAGCAGGTAATATTTCGAAATTTTCATACAAATTGCATATATGTGTGATTTGTGAATGATTTATCGCTGTTCTAAATTGAGGCTTATAGTTTATATACCCGAAAAAGAATCCATATATAATCAAAAACATATAATGTATACATATGTATGTATGTATAATTATATGTAAAATATGTTTCTTTCTTTTGTATAATCTCATATATACATATGTACAGGAAAAATAATAAGAAGACTAATTAATTAAAAAATAATTATATAAAAATAATTGTATTGTTTTTTTAGAAAAAGAAATTTAAAGAAAAAATGGCATAAGTCACTCAATAAGTAGAATACAATATAATAGCATTTATTCATTGTCAGAAGTTACTAGTAAATTGCATCAATTAGATCCACATTAAGCTTATGATCAGTAAACAGAACTCGAAGAATCTGACAACAGATCCGACAGCCAAACCTGCTAAGAGAATCTGATATCGTATATTATTATAATATTTAAATAATTAAAAAATGCAAATCCTCTACTTGATTTTTGTAGAGATTAATCTTTCAATATCGGTAATAATAATTCCCATATCAATTTATAGTCTTTTTGTCGGCGACAATTTGTAACAAGTATTTAACAAAATTTGCTTTCGACAGATTTGTCTATCCGAATAATACTATATATGTATATAAATATGATTATACAGGCAATTTTTTCATTTTTTCAAATTTTATTTTTTTCTAAAAAGAAATAATAATTATGTTTTTATTATTATTCTTTTATTATTATTATTTAATTATGCTTCGTATTATATCCTGTATAGAGATTATATAAAAAAAAAGAAAACTTATATATATATGAACAAATTTTTTTATATTTATATTTGATTATATATGAATATTTTCTCGGGTGAAATCTCAAATAAAAAAAATAAGAAATAAATAGCGGGAAATCATCATCAAAAAGTCTTCTTTCTTGGATAGTGATAATTGTTTTGCTGAATTAATTCGCGCAAAATATATCGGATCGTGATCCGAAATAGGAAACGGATCAACAAGAATGTTCAGTTCATTAAGGCTAGCAACTATGCGCTCGCACAAGAGTCGTGCCAGACCGGGAAGCATCGCCACATCCGCGAATTCCGATTCGACCAGAATGGAAGATACACTCGCGCAAACACAGTATCATCCTCACAGCTTTTTGCTCTTGAACGATCAGGAAGCGACGAATATCATCGGTTTGTCATCGCCGGTCAGTGTTTCTTCGAAAGTCGCGCAAGTGAGGGTGGAACGAGAGAGTGGTAGTCTCGGGGTAACTCTTCGTGGTGGAGTGTCAAAAGCTCTGATGGTGACGGGAGTAAAAACGGACGGTCCGGCTGCCAAGGAAGGAAGAGTCAGGCCCGGTGACCGATTGCTAGCGGTAGATGACACGGAATTGCGAGGACTTACCTTGGCGGAGGCACAGCGAGCGCTTAAGAAGAGTTCGGATTCACCTGTTACATCCCTCACAATTGAATACGATGTTGCAAACATGGAAGAGGCACGAGCGGCCACTTCCGGCCCATTGCTTATTCAACTGGAACGTGGTTTTTCAGGTATATCATTTTTTCCTCAAACGAGTTCTTGCTTAAAAAAAAAAAAACGATAAAAATAACTCACATGTTAAGAATATGAATATTTAAATGTATATTAACTTGAAATATGAATTGAAAATTCCTCAGGAGAACTGGGTTTAACTGTGAGAGAGACATCAAACGGAATCTACATAGAAAGTCTCCGTCCAGCGAGCACAGCAGATCGCTGTGGTGCTTTGCAAGTGGGAGATCGACTATTGGCCGTGGATGATATACCGGTCCAGGATGCGGCAACCGCCGCAAAATTGCTTAGAAATAATTCCGAGAACTGTCGTATTGCCAGGCTGCAAATATTACCGCGACCACCGAGGACAGTCAAAAGAAGAGCACAACCGCAAGTCCAGCAGAACTCGAACCAGACTCTGCAAATGAAGGAAAGCCTGACGGTTGTTCTTCGGCCAGATCATCGGGGCTTCGGGCTCGCGCTTAAGCTAGTTGAAGATCGCATGAATTATGTTGTGAGCTTTTTGGAAGCTGGAGGCCCGGCTGAACGAAGCGGTGTCCTTTTGCCTGGTGATAAAGCTATCGCAATCAATCGGAGAATGCTACGCGACCTGCAACCGAATGAAGTAGCTAATATACTTGAGACATCGCAATTGGTAAACATCTTTTTCTTATTTCAAATTTTTACAAAAATATGGTGAAATACCTTTTTATTAATTAATTTTATCTTGGCATGAAATCAGATCGAGTTAGTGATAGAATACAAAGTAGGTGGACCAGTGGTTCCGAATTCCGGAATTTTCACAGTGAGAGTAACGAGGCCGTTGGGTGGTCAACCCGATCTAGGTCTTACGGTGAACGAAGACTTAGTAATTACGGAAGTTCGTCGAGGATCGCTTGCTTATCGAACAGGGAGTTTAGCATCCGGCGACAGGCTGCTTGCAATAGACGGGGAACAATTAGATTCTGGAGATTTAAGACAAGCCGCTCAATTATTGCATCGACCCGGCAGCTCAGTAGTTGCTTTAACTGTCAGAAAACCAGATCCTAGTCCAGAAAGGTATTTAATAACATGCAAAATATTTCCTAAAAATATTAAATTTTAAAATTGAAAAATGTATGAATTTTCAAATATCGACATGTGTCCTGAAAATAAAATTTCTTTTTTTTGGTATTTTCTGCAAAAATTAATCGATTACAAGAGATAAACAAGATGAAAATTTTTTAAATGAACAGATTATATAATTATGTGTATTATATTATCATTGATGCATATATATCACATACAATAAGACTATGTAATTATTATATAATATAAAAATGAAAGAATAAAATAGCAAAGAAATAAATTGAAAACACAAAACGAATAACTTTAAATTAATTTTTCCAAAATATTATACGTATATAATAACAAAGTATTTATTTTATATAAGCTTTGCAATCAAAATATATACACAAAGAAAGTAAATTCAATAAAAATGAAATAAAAATGCCGAGAAAAGGAATGATTAATTTTTCAATATAAAAAGAGGAGGAGCGATATAAGTGTAACATATTTTATAAAGTTTAAATTTTCTAATAAAACATATAATCTGTTTACTTATATATTTGAAGAAAAGCTTTATAGAGATTGTTCCAGGAAGCTTAGTATAGGAAGTGACACAATCCAGCCACAGTTTCCCAATGCGTTACGTTCGGCTAGAGAAAGTCTTCCCAGTGTAGATAGCGCCGTGGATTCTTGGGGCGAATTGGGAGAAGGTGGTAGTACTATGCCAGAGATACTGCGAATTTGGGATACTGTATCTGTAGACAGCGGACAGTTAGACTTATCAATACCATCTTATCCAGGGTATCTTTTGATTAACTTATTTAATAAAAAGATTTACTTGACATTGACCATTTCTTCATGTAATGTTTCTTGTTTAAAATTCAGAATACAAGAATGCGGTGATTCCGACAATAAAGCCCAGCAGATAATGCATGTGTCATTGCATAAGGATCCTGTGTATGAAGACTTCGGATTTTCAGTGTCAGACGGTCTATACGAACGGGGAGTTTATATAAATCGTTTACGACCTGGCGGTCCCTGCGACGGTGTTCTGCGACCATATGACAGAATTCTTCGAGTGAACGAGGCCAGCACGGAAGATTGCGACTGCTGTTTGACGGTTCCACTCATCGCAGCAGCCGGACCGCGTCTAGATCTAACTATAGCAAGACTCTTATCCCCACAAAATGTTATAAAAACTTTATAAAACAATATAATATTATCATCTATAATAAACTGCTAGTATATCTCATCATAATTTAATATTATCTTATATCTTAGAATATCTTTCAGTCACTTTAAAGAATACTTTATTGTTATATTAAATATTTTAGAATACTGAATAAACTAGATACTGTTAATACTGGCAGTTATTTTGGGGACATGATTACAATTTTACATATGTGCATTGCGTCGAGCAATATATAATGCTTTCAATATATTTTTGTACACGTGTATATTATATTTATAAAAATAAATGTATAGATTGATTTTCCAGCTAGACCATCTTCTGCATAAAATTTACACGCACGCACGCACATGCCCAATGTATAATCCGTGAACATGAGTTTGTACAGTATTGGCACTTATAAAAACATATTAAAATTTTTTTTCATATAGGATTAAAAAACTGAAGAAACTTAAATAAAACTGGAACACTGAATATACTCTGTCTAAATCACAAGTACATAAACCGTATTGCAACTGTTTAATTATTTAGATTATTTAACACAATTTTCACAATGTAGTTTCTATATATTAATAAACAATGCATCAAATATGTAAGAATACAAGATGTCAAAATATATTGTATACTTTTCGTATATACTAAGTATTGATTTGTGGGAATGTAATCAGTTTCATATGATTAATGCTAATTGTACCAGCAATCAGCTAAAAGATCATATTTTTAAACGATGCAATTATACCTTTCCAGCAGGTTTATCTTTAAAATACAGAAACTAATCGAATTCATGACAATGAGCATAGTACGAAAATATAGAATATTTTTATTTGCTAAGAAATATTGATTTTCGCGATTAAATTCGAGAAATATAAATCACATTTTTCTGCAATACTTATATAAATAAAAAATACACACATAGTAATTGTCAATTACTGATCAATTACTAATTGGTCATGAGTTTCTTCTATCTATTTTCTCTGATCATATGCAAGCATAACAAATTATGTTAGTATTTTATTATATGAAAGAAACTAATTCATACATAAATAAAAAGGATTTCATTGATATAGAAAGTCACATGAATTTATCAAAATAAAATAAAATTAAATAATTGAGACTAGATTGCAAGTAATTGATGTTGTTTACTGGCAAATCCATTTACCATAAAGGAACTGCTAGTACCATTCTGAGTCGAATTATAATATTTTGGAAGAATTGTCTCCTTTTGTTTCTCCAATCTTTGATTGTATTTAGCATTATTGTAACATAATACTCCAAATATGGCCATAGTCATTCCAAATATATTCAACCATGTAACTGGATTGCCAAGTACAAGTAACGTTACTGCGATTACAAATATACGCTTGCTTGCACTGGCTACTGCGTATGTTAAAGGAGTTACGATAGACAGTACGGAAAACGCAATAATGTTCTGAAACCAGTTCAATATACCATCTAAAAACAACAATCCTAATATATAATAGCTAGTCTCTGTTGATGGTTTCAGCATCGGTTCATATATCAAACTATACAGATCATATACAGCCCAAATTGGTGAAAACATAAGTAGAGCCAGACGGCCGAGTACGTGCAGTAATCGTAAGTGATGTATTCCTGTATCATGCAGCACCTATAAACCAATAAATTACATTTAGTTAAAGGGAGACATAAAATTTTAAATACTTTGTCGAGAGTTAATTCCATTTTACCTTTTTGGAATAAATATTCTGCAAGGAAAATGCCATAGTAGATGCTAACGCACTTATCAGGCCAATCATGTTGAAACTAAGTTCTGTCAGTGTGGCAATCGCTACGCCACCGACTATTGGTACAAGGCTCAAGTAGACTTTCCATGTCTGCTGTTCTCGAAGTATTATTCTTGATAGGGCTACCGTAAAGAGGGGCATTGTAGCCTTCACTGGGACAGAGCCAAACTTCTGTTAATATAAGATAATATAAAACTAATGTATAAAACTAAAGCAAACACAGTATTTATATAGCTTGGCAACTTTATAATATATCCAGAACCAAGCGTAATAATCATACTGCTGTCACATTGTCAATAATTATTATTATTCAAAGTATTACCAATAATATTATTATCAATAATTACCCATAATTATTGGTGTCAATAGCATTATTAATAGTATTATTATCGATAATAGTACAACAATTTTACAGACAATTGGCTATATGAATAGGAGCAAAATTATCAAAAAGAGAAAAAAATTTTTTTAATTAAAAAAATCAAATCCCAAACTTCAATAAAATTTTATGAGAATTCCCTAATGTTTTCAAGTCCTTTAGCATTCCAAAAAGTAGACACATCCTGGAAATATTCGTAGTTACCATCGAAATTTAACTATCAAAACATTAACAAGGTTTTATATAAAAATACAAATTTGAGAATTTTCACGGGCTATTAAGAAAGAACTACACTAAATTTACAAACTGCTATGTTTATACGATGTAAAACCTTGCCAAGAAACAAGATTATGCAACTCGAATATTGCATATCATATATTTAGCATTCGTGTATTATTAAAAAATGTTCCTCAAAAATTCCTTTATTATGCGGAGACTTTAGCATATTTGACAACAACTGCGTATGTTTTCGACAACACGAGAATAAAAAACTGTTATACACTTGTTTCAACAGGTAAAAGTTTATTATGCACCTTTCTCGAAATTAAACACGCAGCGCGCGCACGTGATATGCATGCGTGACATATGTGCGTGACGTATGCACACGTCTACGAATTTTTAAAATTATGCTCATGCTTATGTTATGTATACATACCAGTGTGGGCATAGGAAACTGGTACTTTCCAAATGCTGACGTGGCTGAACACGTTTGCGAGAAATTTGCCTAAGGCTAAGGGCACGATGAGCCGCAAATAATAGCTCCACGTTATGTTGGACGAATATCGTCTCACGCCCCAGAGATTGAAGAACGGGCCGGAATAAAGAGTGATCGAGGTTAATTGGACCATGGTGACGGTGAGCGGATACGGGAACTCGGACAACAGCATCTTACCGACAACGTTGCTGCTGCTGGATACCACGTACCATAGCAGGCACAGGAATAATACCGTCACCACTTCGCGGTTATTTCGTCTATCGTCCATGGTGTTCATGCGACAGGGAGAGCGAGCGATCACAAAACTCACTCCCGATCCTAGTTCACCGTCTTATCGCGAATGCACCCACGGTATATGAGATATTCATCTGGATTCACATTCTTTGCGAAGGACACCGATGATTTTTTCTGTCAGCAGAGAGCCCGAGAGTGGCAGGAATGGCTACGCCGGTGTCTCTCGTGCAATTAGAAGTGACGAACTGACGAATAAACTCCGAATACCGAATTGACATCGGAGACCTCTTGCGGTGATAATGCGAAAGTCCAATTTCAGGATCACCAACGTGACTCTAGCAGAGAGAAGACTACTAGCGTTTTCGAATGTCGGGTTAAATCGCTCTGGGGTAGTTTACTAGATGTTATTGACCAATCACAGCCATTCTGAAGAATATATGGTTACATTCTTAAGAAGAATGGCTGTGATTGGTCAATAATAGTAACCTACCTCGGAGCGATTGAAACCGAGCGATAGAAACGGAGCGATAGAAATACTATAAGGCCGGATTTACTATAGATAATTTAAGCCTTAACCTTAAGAGATTGACCACTCACAGTCGAGTATGAAGAGAATACTCGACTGTGATTGGTTAATTTCTTAAGGCTTAGGGCTTAAATTATCTATTGTAGACCTGGCCTTATAAAACAGATCTTACGCAATAAAGGTGCAATTTCATTGACGCTAGAAACCAGAGGCAAATTAAAATCACTAGACTTTCTCTAGATATGGCGTCAATAAAATAAAGTTCAGTTTCAACTTTTTCAGTGTGTAAAGATGCGGCCTCATTGACGCTAAAAAGTAGCGTCAACCATTGGTTGAACAATGAAGCAACTATACTTACCTCTTTGTTCAACCAATGGTTGACGCTACTTTTTAGCGTCAATGAGGCCGCACCTTAAAGCGGCCTTTTCATTGACGCTAAAAAGTAGCGTCAACTATTGGTTGAACAAAGAAGTAAGTAGTTGCTTCTTTGTTCAACCAATTGTTGACGCTACTTTTTAGCGTCAATGAAATTGCACCTTAACAGTTGGCAGCCCTACGAGATAGGCTGTGCAGCACTGCGCGTATATAAAATAAATTTGAAATCGCTTCTAGCCTAACCATCTTTACGCGATCGACTTTATTTGAATTGCACGGCATTGCATCGAATTATGATGCGGCGCCGATTTGTTCGAACGTAATTCGGGATATCGCGATACTGTATAAGCGTCGAATGAGCACGAATTGTCACGCAAATATGATAAATCACATCTACTCACCGTTCACCGGCTGTTCCACAGGCCGCTCCACTCGCTTGCTTCGGGACGTCCCATTCCGATCTTGATGCACACGATATCATCAACGCGAACGCGCGACACTTTATTCGGCACTCCCGATATTCACTCGCATCCGATAATCATCATCAAGGGCGCAAATAACGCGACGCGACTTCGCTCCATCTTCGCGATCGCGCTATCACTGAACTGTGAAAAATAGCTGTTGCGCATTTTCACCGACATATTATGAAAGTCGCGCGATTATCCTTGGACACTTTCGACGCTCTTTCACTCGCGATATTCGTTTAAAAACGGTTAAAAGACGCGAAAAATGCGGACGTACGACGATCCGTGTAACTGCGTATGACTCCGATTCACGTATGACGCGTATGACGTAGCAGTCACGCGCTAACATGGCGGCCGAACCAGTGCGCAGAAACGAATGCGCACTGGTTCGGCCGCCATGTTAGCGCGTGACTGCTACGTCATACGCGTCATACGTGAATCGGAGTCATACGCAGTTACACGGATCGTCGTACGTCCGCATTTTTCGCGTCTTTTAACCGTTTTTAAACGAATATCGCGAGTGAAAGAGCGTCGAAAGTGTCCAAGGATAATCGCGCGACTTTCATAATATGTCGGTGAAAATGCGCAACAGCTATTTTTCACAGTTCAGTGATAGCGCGATCGCGAAGATGGAGCGAAGTCGCGTCGCGTTATTTGCGCCCTTGATGATGATTATCGGATGCGAGCGAATATCGGGAGTGCCGAATAAAGTGTCGCGCGTTCGCGTTGATGATATCGTGTGCATCAAGATCGGAATGGGACGTCCCGAAGCAAGCGAGTGGAGCGGCCTGTGGAACAGCCGGTGAACGGTGAGTAGATGTGATTTATCATATTTGCGTGACAATTCGTGCTCATTCGACGCTTATACAGTATCGCGATATCCCGAATTACGTTCGAACAAATCGGCGCCGCATCATAATTCGATGCAATGCCGTGCAATTCAAATAAAGTCGATCGCGTAAAGATGGTTAGGCTAGAAGCGATTTCAAATTTATTTTATATACGCGCAGTGCTGCACAGCCTATCTCGTAGGGCTGCCAACTGTTAAGGTGCAATTTCATTGACGCTAAAAAGTAGCGTCAATGAAAAGGCCGCTTAATGTTGAATACATTTTACCAAAATACTATAACTGCTCTAATATCACGTAACAGAAGCAAATTTCAAATGAGGACGAACTAACGCCCAACATAACAATTTAATAATATTGATATTAATAAAATATTAATAATTAAATTTTTAAATAATTAAAAAAATGATTGATAAATATCAAAGATCAGTTTACTGCTAATTAAGAAGATTGATAGAAATACGGTTAAAAATGTTTTTATTCCACAGCAGGCATTTTGTGTTTTGTAAATAAAAAGATATACGTATGACAAGGAATATAGAAAAATATTTATTTCATCTTTGAATATTACAGTATCTTTCGCGATTGAATAATATATTTATTATCAATTTACGTACATAAGTATCTTGTTATATAGCACTAGTGCTACCGGTATTTCGCGCACATAGCGGAACAAAACCAGAAATTGTGCACATTCTATATTACCTTCTGAGAACTTTCGTGGACTTGGCTTCGTAGTTCTCTCAGTTTTTCTCTGATTCTCTCTACCATAGTGGAACATAACCTATGGAGCGTATGGAGTACAGTCCTTTCTTAATATTTATTTTAAACGAGAATTGTGTGAGAGCTCCTAAATTATATTAAGAATTTAGTCGACTGTGTTTTTGTTACGAAAAATATTATTACTTGACTTAAGGATGAAAAAAGCTGAACGGATAGATTTATCGAGTTCGGAAGATGAAATATGTTCAAATAATCTAAAAGAAGCGATCGATCAACAATTTTTAAATGACAATCTTTATATCACGAGGAAGACAGAATTTGCTCCTGAATCTAGTAAATAAATCTAATCTAATAATTTAATGCTAATAATCTGTGCTAATAATCTGTGCTTTTACATATATTATATTTTTTTTTAATTTTATGAAATATCAATGTTAACAATTTTAATAAGTGATTATACAACTTTTTTCAATGATCATGAAAATATTATATATTATTTATTTTTAGAAGACTTAGAAACCAACAAATCACATGGAAAATCTTTTAGAATAAGCTCAAAGCAGGACCAATTTACAAATTTTGGTGTTACAGACACATTCCAAAATTTTATTGCTAAGAAGTTAGATGAAATTTTGGAGAAGTAAGTATTAAAGTAATTATGTGTGTAAATGCTATTTTTAATAATTATTCTTTGAACAATGTTTTTTTCAGGACTATTAAATTGAAGAATAGCAAAAGTACTGAATGTTTCATGCAACAAAAACAGAAGCGAAACAAAAATTCTGGAATAAAACTCTTAAGTACATCAAAAGAATTTGTAACTACTAAAGAAATCTCAAAATTATTTGCAAAGGACAAAAAGAAACTAAAAAGATGTTCACAAATTACAGAGGATAGCACCTTATCGAAATTTCAAGAAGCTGCTATTGATCCAGAATGTATATTGAGCAAATCAGATATGATAGTTTGGAACAGTGAATATTCAAAACCAGAATTTCAATATAAGAAATCAAAAGATGATATTTTGATTGAAGTATAGCACTAATTTTTTATTTGTGATTGTTTAGATTGTATATACATAACTGTGTGTAAATATTTCATATCGATATAAAAATAAGGTTTTATTTACTATATTTCTTGTTCTTCTTATTGTTTATGTTGCACTTTTATGTTGCATTCAACAAGAAGCAGCATGTAAAATGTAAAATGATTACATCCTAAAATAATTTTTGATTTTGGACTCATATTAAAAAATATTTTAAATAAAAGTTGTTTGTGTATGACAACAAGGGATTAATTTAAATTTGGATACACATCCATATATATATATAATAATATTTTATAACAATCTTATTTATTTTTATATGTAATGGTGACAACGGATAGAGGTTTAATCGGACCAAATCCAAAAGTAATTACAAAATATAGGTACATATACAGGGCAATAATAATGATTCGTTATGTCTCTTTACAAATATCTTATCTTTTTCGCTTTTCGAGATGTCTCGTCTGATGTCTCTCGTTGGCTCTCTCACCTATTCCGGGGCCTTGAATTTTTTCTGTTTTGTAAAGCAGATGATACGAATAATAAAGGGGTTGGCCAGATCTCACTTCCCGAATATTTGAACCTATTCTAGGTACTTCTTCTTTCCACATCGGCAGATCAACAGAATCTTCTATTCCACGACGCTTACTGTGTGACTCCAGAACGAAAGAGGACGAACAGAGACGAGGCTCTCACACCTTGATCATTATAGATCGATAGGCATGCGCGTCACTTGTTACAATTTTAAGTTTTGTTAATATAATTCCTTTTTCTACTAAATTTTTCTCATATTTTGCAAATATAAATATTAATTATAATATGTATTAACTTATCTAAACTCTATTTCCTGTTTGTGTTTGTATCTGTGTAATCTATTCGAATTGCCAAAAAACTTTTATTGCCACGCAAGTGCGAAAACTTTGGCTCTAACAACATTAAAGCTCCATAATATATATAATTAATAGAACGTAACTGAAAGGTATTTAAAAGAAATCTTAAAAACGACTTTAAATGTTTTAATTATGTTTTGATCTATAATATTATCTTGACTTGTGAAAGCATTATTCTATTAATTTCATGAAAAGGCAAATGTTTTCTGCGGATAGAAAAAAAACGATATTTTGATTGTTTGATAAACGTTTATTTTTATCAAAAGAAATGTTTCTTTTAACGTTTCTCAAGTAGATATTTTAATCAATCAGAAATATTTTTGTAAAGTGTTATAAAATAATAAAAAATGTTTCAAAGACATAATTTATATAATTTTTCTAAAATGAATACGTACTATTTTCGATTATCCTTACTGAAATCAAATCAAAATTATAAAAACTTTATAAATATCGGTTTACATTAATATTTTATTTAAATTGTTAGAAAAAATTTGCATATCGGGTACGTCAATCTATTTAGATTACCAGATGTATATCATATTTTATCGGCTGACAGATCCTAAATTTAATGAAGAAATAATTAATGTCAATCCATTAACAACTTCTGATCTAAATCTGAATCTATGGCCAATCTGTTAACATATTGCGCGTTATTTTGGTTTACATGCTAATATTCTGCGCCACAGCCTTTTAGCCTTCTTTTTTATTGTTTTATATAGTAAAAAAAGAAAGAAAGTACACAAAAAAATACACAATTATATTTAAAAAAATCTGATTGTAATTTGAAAACATAATTATATTATGTAATTAAGCATGTCATTTTTGTTTATTGATTTCAATGTATTTTTACAATTTATTTATTTATTTGTTTATATATTTTTAAAGCAAATTAAATTTATTTTCTTTAATGTAACTTTTAATTAAATTTAAAATGTGAATGTATATTACAAGTCAATTCTTTTTATATTAATACAAAAACTGAGTTTATATAATATAATATTATTATTTAAAATATAATCCAATTAAAGTAATTAAATCAATTAAAATAAAAGTAACTAAAAAATAAATATGTGATATTTTTCTGAAAAAATAAATATGTGGTATTTTTCCGACTCTTGTTTTTATTCGATTAGAGAATTAACTCTATTATCTCACAATACGTTTAATTTAAATACAGAAAGGTTAAATAGTATCAAAAGTATATCAATGCTAATTTAATTCTTCTTTTTACTATTATTTACTCGTTTTTTCATTCAGATAAATAATTTATTTAGTTATTTATGTACATATATTTTTTTTCAGAAACAAACAATACAAAGATACAAACGATATAGAAACAAATATAGAAACAATAATGATTTTATTACTAAAAAGAGAGAGAGAGAGAAACTTAAAAATCTAAAAAAAAATAGTACACAAACATATATATATGTCATATTTTCAAATATTAAAAATGAAACTATTTAATCAAATAATAAATAATTTAGTATTATAAATAAAAGTGCAATCTGTAAACAAATTTGAATTCTGTAGTCTTAATACGTATTAAAGACATAAACAGTATTATTTTATTTTAAATAGTATATTTTTTTTATCTTTAATATGTTTTTTTATCTTTAATATGTTACTCATAATTATTTCGATTATTATCCCGCACTATATACATTTTATAAACAATCGATATTATCCCGCACTATACATTTTATAAACAATCGTTTTATATATAATCGATACATTTCAATTGCAAATACATACTTTGAATTATAAATTTATAAAGAAGATTGAAAATACAACATGTGTGATCATTATCATAATTAATACAATCGCAAGAATCTAAATAATTAAACAGAGACATTTAAAATAGATAGATATATATATATGTAACGATTTAGTATTTCATTATCTCATTTCTCATCTAGTGTTCGTCTATCGCAATAATATCGCAAATAACAAATTTTGTAGTGTTAATAACATCATAAATAGAACAAAATATATAAAATATATAAAATACAAATATATATATATTTGTATGGATAAACACATACAAAAATAATTTACAATATGATGAAAGAAACACACAGACCATACATTAATATCGATTCTGGCGACGAAATCGTTATTTCAGGTATTGCTGGTAGATTTCCAAATTCAAACAACATGAATCAGTTACAAGAGAACTTATTCAACAATGTTGATCTTTCTAGAACAGATCATGGCCGATGGAAAATGGGTAATTATAATTCATAATTTCACATTTATTTGTAGTTAATTTAAAATATGTCTTTTTACTCTTAAATAAATACATAATTATTTGTTATAAAAATATATTTTTAATTTAAATAAAAAATATAAATGTTAAAAATATACTTTATATAGCAATTTTATTACATAAATATTATACATTTATGAAATTATATAATTTGTTAGAACATCCAGATTTACCACCACGCATGGGAACAATTAATAATGTGGAAAAATTCGATGCTGATTTTTTCAACATTTCTTTTAAGCAAGCACACACACTCGATTCTATGACAAGAATATGTTTGGAACACACTTATGAAGCAATTGTCGATGCGGGGATCAATCCAAAGCAATTACAAGGAAAAAATACTGCTGTGATTATAGGAACAAGTATACTTGAATCGCAAGGAAATTTTATGTATAAAAATCTTCAGGTAGAACAAAGTTATTGATTAATACATATAAGGAAAATATTTGACATAAAGAATTATTAAATTCATTGTTTATATATGTAAAATTTATTATTGCTTTCTCTAATTAGACAGATGGTCTAGGCATTATTGGATGTAGTAAATCTACAGTAGCAAATATGCTTTCACAATTGCTGGATTTGAAAGGACCATCTTATACAATCGATACAGCATGCAGTTCTAGTCTTTATGCCATGGCTCTTGGTTACCACGAAATTATGTCAGGTCGATGCGAGGATGCGATAATTGGAGCTTCAAATTTATGTTTAAATCCTATAATAAATCTGCAATTCTCTCGTCTTGGTATTTTTAATGAAACTAGTTAATATATCACATAATATTCTTATATATAAACATGTATACCAAACATGTATATGATATTTTAGGTCCTTTGTCTTCCGATGGTTATTGCAGACCTTTTGATTCTACCGCTAATGGTTATTCGCGTAGCGAAACCATATCTGTGCTATATCTTCAAAAGGCAAAAAATGCTAAAAGAATTTACGCTACATGTAAGCATATTAAAGTAAACAGCGATGGTTATAAGAAGGAAGGAATAACGTTCCCATCAGAACATAGTCAGAGTACTTTACTGACGGAATGTTACAAGGAATGCGATATATTACCATCTTATCTAGATTACATTGAAGCCCATGGTACCGCCACAAGAGCTGGCGATCCTGTGGAAATCAAGGCTATCTATAATGTTTTGTGTAAAAAAAGAAAGACTCCGTTGATGATCGGCTCTGTAAAATCCAATCTAGGTCACGCTGAATCAGCAAGTTCTTTGACTCAAATCGCTAAGGTAGAACACATAATTGGCATTATTTTCATAAAGAAAGTAATATTCCGATAAATTCCGCATATATGATAAATGGTTTTACCTCTTATAAAACAAAAAGATCTCGCTATTTCTATATTACTAGTTAATTTGAGAAATTTGGAGTTTATTGTTTATTAATTTATGACAATTGATTTAAATATGAACAAATAAATAAATACATTTTATGTATTTTTATTTTTTCAAAATTCATTTTAATATAATAATAAATTAATTAGCTTTTTATAACAACGGCAGATTCAAAAATATATATTTAACAAAGAAATACATATTGTTATGTATCTAATTGAATTCATTTATTTCTTGAAGGCAATAATAGCATTTGAAACTGGTCTCGTTCCACCAAATATCAATTACATATCACCACGAAAGGATATAGATGCTCTTATAAAAGGAGACATCCATGTTGTTACGGAAGCAATGCCACTTAGGAACGGTTACATAGGCATTAATTCTTTCGGCTTCGGAGGAGCCAATGCTCATTTAATATTAAAATGGAATACCAAACAGAAGGTTAACAGTGCAACACGAACCGATAGCTTGCCAAGACTTGTGACATTGTCCGGACGTACTGAAAAATCAGTAAAATCGTTTTTAAACGATGTTAGTAGATATTAAAAATAATAATAATATTTTTAGAAATTAGAAAATATATTTGCTGTCGGAATTTTTTGAAAATTGTATCTCTTGTAGGTCGCTAATCATTCCACAGATGTCGAATATATTCGTTTATTACATGATGTTTATGCGGACAATATAGAGGGTCACCCATGGAGAGGATATATTATACTAGACACTTTGCAACAAAATTCAATACAGGAGATCCAAAATAATGGGAACGAAAAAAGACCTATTTGGTTTATATTTTCTGCCTTAGGCACGCAATGGCCACGGATGGGTATATATATATTCAATATTTTATATTTCACACGTATAAGATGGCAATCAAATAATAAAATAATTATTATCATTTAATCAAAATTTTATCAGGTCAAAATTTATTAAAATTTCATGTTTTTGAAAATACTATAAAAATGTGTGACACTGTTTTAAAATTATATGATATAAATATTATGAACATATTAACAAACAAAACTGAAAAAGCGTATGAAAGCGCTTTACACACATTTGTCTGTATCGTCGCCATTCAGGTAAAATATTATAAATATAAATATATAAATTTATACGAAATTTGTATATATATTAACAATGAGAATACAGTTTACAAACACGGTATAATATGATATAAAAAAATTATATGAATGTATAGATTGGCTTGGTAGATCTTCTCACATCCTTAGAAATTACTCCGGATTACATGATTAGTCATTCTGCTGGTGAACTTGGTTGCGCGTATGCGGATAAATGTTTAACTATTGAACAAACTATTTTATTGGCGTACTTTATTGGTTTAACTTGTATCGAAGAAAATGCGATTCATAGTTCTATGGCAATTGTGAATTGTGATTACAAATGTCTGAAAAATATATGTCCATCGGATATTGAAATGGTGTATTACAATAGTCAAAAGAGTAATATTATAAGCGGGCCCGCAGAATCCATAAAAGAATTCGTGAAAAAATTACAGGTATTGTTTTCTTAATTAAATATTTAATCAGATTGATCTTCTGACTTGTCTCTTTTACTAGAAAATATTGTAAGCTTTATATAATCGTCTTATATTTATTCATATTAATTAATTTCGTTTTGTCAGATTAATAACATTAACGCGAAAGAAATCTCTTGCGATGTACCATATCACAGTTATTATTTCGCATCCGTGGAAAATCGACTTTTGTTTAATTTGAACCAAATAATACTATGCTTGAAAAAACGAAGTCCAAGATGGATTAGTACCTCCGTACCTTGCATGGAATGGTCCAAAGAGGTAGCGGAATTATCTTCAGCGAACTATCACACGCATAGTATACTCAATACTGTTTTCATTGAACAAGCAATGAATTTAATTCCAAATAATGCTGTAACTATCGAAATTGGACCGGATGGCGTTCTGCAGCGTATTTTGAGAGAATCCTTACATCCAAAAGTGACGAACATCATACTGACTCAGTGCATTGAACAAAATTCGACCGATGTAATTTTACGAGGGATTGGAAAACTCTATAATTGTGGTTTACAACCGCAGATTGCTAACTTATATCCGCCAGTGGAATTTCCAGTTAGTCGAGGCACTCCTATGATATCTCCATCTATCAGGTACAACATAATGTCAGAATAAATTTTTCTCTAAATGTTACTTATGTAAATAAGAAACATTTCTTGAAATATATAAGCATATATATATATATATATATATATATATATATATATATAATATGAAAGCAAGGTTTCAATGCCGAGTTATAGGTGGGATCATTCTAAAGATTGGTTTGTGTCAACTTATCAATCACAGAAGGACATAGAATCCAGCGAAAGACATGTCGAAATCAGTCTGAACGACGAGAACTATAACTATATGATCGGTCATGTAATCGATGGAAGAAATTTATTACCAGCAACTGGATATCTTGCACTCGTGTGGGAAACTATCGGCATGATGGAAGGAAAAATATATACAACTATGCCAATAATATTTCGAGATATAAATTTTATTCGTGCTACTCATTTATCGAATAATATTACAAAATTAACAATTTCAATACAAAAAGGTATTTAGGAAACATTTAAATTATTTTTGCAATAATAACATAAAGTTATTTCTCGTAATTAATCATAATCTGTGAATTATCAAATAAAAATATTGCAGACAGCGGAAAATTCGAAGTTACCGAAGGAGATAGCATTGTGGTTACAGGTAAAGTGCATGTTACATCGAATCCAAAACAGGAAATGATTCCGAACAGTCTATTGCCGGAAGATGACAAAGAAGAAGAGCACATGACTGTTCGAGATATCTATAAAGAACTGAAATTACGCGGCTATCAATATAGTGGCTGGTTCCGTGGATTAAAAAGCGCATCTATATCATACAACAAAGGACATATTGTTTGGATAAATAATTGGGTAACTTTTATGGACACTATGCTGCAACTCTATATTCTTGGATATGATACTAGGGATTTATATGTTCCTACGAGTATTCGAGAATTGGTAATTAATCCTGCGCTACATATGTCAGTGTTGAAGTTTCAAGTGACCGAAAAGGATAAAAGTACGTTCCTCGATAATTTAACAATTTATTAATTAAAAGTTAACAATTTAATCAGTTAAAGTTAAATATATTTAAAGAGAATTATATTTTATCTTTTTCTCTCTCTCTCTCTCTCTCTCTCTCTCTCTCTCTCTCTATTAGCTTTAATTTTATATCAAGCAATTTTTGTAGTAAAATTGCTGTATTTTTATTTAATTGTCTCGTTACAGTATTACCAGTACGAATATATAGAGAAATAGATGCGATTATATCTGGTGGAATAGAAATTCGAGGCGCTAAAGCTACCATGATTTCTCGTCGGAAATTAAACCAGAATCCCGTTATCGAAGAATACGTATTTGTGGCACATCATGACCATGCGAAAATATCTTTAGACGAAGCGATCCAAATATCAGCGCAGCTTGCGTTGGAAGATCATCAGATAATTAAAATAAAAGCTATTGAATTGGTAGAAGATACTGATAATGTAACGTTCGAAGAATTATCATCCCTGTTGTTAATTAAAACTTTTAATGATATGCCGTTAATACAGACAAATATTACCATTTTAACATCAGCGAATCGTTTTAATTCAACAAAATTGCCACAGAATGTTGAAATCGCAGAACTAAATGAACCATCTATAAATGATAAAGTCTTAATAGCTGTCGGATTCAATCTCTTGACGAAACAACAAAAATCATTAGAAAGACTTTTGTCATTCGTGAGAGATGGTGGTTATGTGTTGACGCGCGAACGAAGCAACATAATTAATTGCGATATATACTTACGACAATATAACTTAAATGTTATTCTTGAAAAGCGCACTGAAACAGAAGTAATTATGCTTCTGAAGAAAAAAGTTGAGATAAAGAAAATGACTGTTGTCTATATAAATAATGATAATTTTAATTGGCTCGAAGAATTAAAGCTGCTTTTGAACGATGAAAATCAACTTGTTAAAGACAATAGAATCATAATTGTTGGAGAAGGAGATTTTGAGTGCGGTTTGTTAGGCTTCATTAATTGTTTGAGAAAAGAATCAGGCAGCTTTGTCAGAGGTGTATTTATTCAAGATGAGAAGGCTCCTAAATTCTCTCTACAAAATCCTTTTTATATGCAACAGTTGCAAAAAGACATGTCTATTAATGTTTTGCGTTCTAACAAAATCTGGGGATCTTACAGACATTTACCATTGCCTCGTCCAGAAGCTCAACCTGTACCTTTCGCCTATGTTTGTCAAATGGTATACATATGTACATCTGTATATATCTTTGCAAAAATTTAAATAATGCATGAATATTATCTGTATGTATTATATTATATATAAGCAATAATAATTTATTTTTTGTGTCTTACAATTTCGCTAGCTAAAATTCGCTTTATACATGCCATACATAATGAAATGTTTTCTTATACTTTTATAGGTTCGTGGTGATCTAAGTACATTTTGTTGGGCGGAAAATGCTATATCTGATTCTCATCTTGAAGATTTGATACGTGTAGTGTATTCGTCTATCAATTTCAGAGATGTAATGTTAGCAACTGGCAAACTAAATTCATTGCCGACTGCAATATCCCAAGAACGATTTCAACGAACATCTCTTGGAATGGAATATGTAGGATTCGATGCCAATGGACATCGTATAATGGGGCTCCGAGATAATAAGTAAATATTGTAATTATTCATATAATTACGTAAAATTTCATTGACCAATATTGCTCTTTATAGATGTATAGCAAACGTCGTTGTGAAAAATAAAAATTTATGTTGGGACATACCTGATACATGGACGTTCGAAGACGCTGCTACGGTTCCGTGCGTTTACAGCACGTGTTATTTCGCCTTATACATTTGTGGAAAGATGAAGAAGGGTGATAAAATACTTATACATTCTGGTACTGGAGGCATTGGACAAGCAGCTATCCACCTGGCTCTTAACGAAGGATGCGAGGTGTTCACTACCGTAGGTACAATTGAAAAGCGAGAATTTATTAAGAGAATGTTTCCGACTATTATGGATAAGCATATTGGAAATTCTCGAGATACCAATTTCGAACAAATGATAATGTTGTATACGAACGGTCGCGGCGTAGATATCGTGCTGAATTCCTTGGCGGAAGAAAAACTCATTGCGTCCGTTCGATGTCTAACACGAAATGGTCGTTTCCTAGAGATTGGCAAATTTGATCTTGTTTCTAACAATCCTCTAGATATAATGTTGTTTCAAAAAGGCATTAGTTTTCACGGAATTCAATTGGAAAATACATTTCTGGGTTATCACAAGCATATGTCTTTAACATCTAAAATGATGGCTAACGATTTGAAAAAGGGGATCATCAAACCACTTCAGGTGAAAGTTTTTCCAAAATCAGAAATTGAGGCAGCTTTTAGATACATGTCAAGTGGGAAACATATAGGAAAAGTATGTTAACAATATAATTTATTTTACAATAATTATAAATGGTAAAAAATATATTTGATATAAATATAATTTGAAGTACTATAATAATCTAATAGTTTTTCTAATATATGGACATACTTTTTTAGATAATTTTGAAGATTCAAGAGGAAAATCAATCACTGAACGGGCTCGTTGTCGCACATCGTCGTTACTATTGTTTCAGTGACAGAAGCTACATTATATTAGGAGGTTTAGGTGGATTCGGTTTGGAATTAACTGATTGGCTGATATTAAGAGGTGCCAAGAACGTTGTGTTGATTTCACGAACTGGTATAAAAAATGGTTATCAACGTATGAAAATTCAATTGTGGAAATCCTATGGCGTAAATGTACTCATTATTAATAAAATCGATGTATCTAACCTTGACGATTGCGAACATCTTTTGCGAACTGCAGAAAAAATGGCACCGGTGGATGCGATATTCAATCTCGCTATGGTGTTGAACGATCGCATTTTGAAGAATCAAACCACCGATAACTTTGTGGAATCCTTCAAATCGAAAGCCTGGGCGACGCAAATGTTAGACAAGCTATCCAGAAAGATTTGTCCTAAACTACGACAATTTGTAATGTTCTCTTCTATTACTAGTGGCAAAGGGAACGCTGGACAAACGAATTATGGTATGGCCAATTCTGTTATGGAGAGGGTGTGTGAGAAGAGAGCGAAAGATGGATTACCAGGATTGGCGATTCAGTGGGGAACCATAGGTGACGTGGGTTTTGTCGCTGATATGCAAGAAGAGAATAAGGAACTCGTTTTCGGTGGCACTTTGCAACAAAAAATATCTAGCTGCCTTGATATACTCGATACATTTTTACTTCAAAACCGCCCAATTGTAAGCAGCATGATTGTAGACGAGAAAAAAGCAAATTCTTCCAGATTTAGTAATATGATAGAAACTATCGCTAATATTTTAAGTAAGTATTCGCATGTAAACTATGCCATGTGTGTGTTAAACTATTTCTTGTACGCTTCACTAAGTCAGACATATTATTGTATTGATAGATATAAAAGATATAAATAAGATAAACAAAAATACATCTCTATCTGATCTTGGAATGGATTCTATGATGGTTGTGGAAATTAAACAAATTTTGGAACGAGAATTCGATATCTTTTTCACTGCACAAGAAATACGGATCCTTACTTTTACAAAATTAATTGAGATGTCCAATACAAACATTGATGAAGACAATACGCAAACTGAAAATTCAAATGATATTAGAAATCAAGAAATGCCGAAATTAATCGATGTTTTAAAGGATGCAGATTTTATGACAGAAGTTTGTTTTGATCTCTTAACAAAAAAAGAAGAAAGTACAATCCAAGTATTTCTTATACCGGGAATCGACGGCTGTATTAGTGTATTTAATCACTTGGCATCAAATATTAAATTTTCGACGACATCCTTGCAGTATAACATAAATAATATCGATTCTATGAACACAATATCGGAGATAGTAGATTATCTTTTTGAGGTATCATAACAATAATTTTATGTTTTATTGTAATTGAAGAATTGTGTTTTTTGTTAATGCCATAAGCAAAATTTGCAAAATTATTTTAATATTTGACAGCACGTATCATCAAAATTGAAAGATGGAAGAGATTTTGTAATGGTAGGATATTCTTTTGGATCTGTCGTCGCAATTGATTTAGTAAGACGATTGGAGGCTGTAAACTTTAAAGGTCGACTTGTACTCATCGATGGTGCTCCGGAACAAATACGATTATTATGTGAACATTTTATACCAAGTTCTAACGACGTAGAACTCCAGATTAATATTTTAATCTTTATTTTGGAAATTTATAAAGCAGGAAGCAGTGAAAAGGTATATCTTTTTTTATGTACATGGAAGCATATTTCTAATCACAAACATTAGTATTAATTTTATATTTTAAGCATGTTATGATTCTTGCAGTTTCTTCAGTAAAAGCTTTTAACTTTTTGCGATTCGGAAATTTCTGTCATATCCATTCAGCAGGTGCAATTCAGACTTATTTTCATTTATATCCTGCAACTTATAAGTTTTTCCACATTTTGTCTCTTATTCCCATTCATTTCATGTCTCAAATTATATACATAACACATATAAAGAAAGAAAGAAATTTTTACACAAGTGTATGTAGTTATAACGAGAAATATTTTTAGGATCGTTAGAATGTTTATAAATATTTATATATTTTTTTATCTCGAGCTAAACTCGACATAGAATCAGCTAGAGCAAAATGTAATATTGATTCAGACTCGACATAGAATCGTAAAAAAGTTAAAAATCCATAAAAGTTTTTAAAAATTATTTAAATATAAAGCATATAAATTTCGCAGGTTTTAATGCCATTAAAGGAGTGCAAAACTTGGGAAGAACGATTTGATATTTTTGCTAAACACTTTTTAGCAATAAATACATTACTTTCACCTATAAATCTGAAAATACTGTGTACAACAGTGTATAAACATTTACTCGCTATTCGACAATATGATTTTTCTACACTATCGCATATTAAATCACCCATAATGTTACTGAAAGCGACATTGTTACCTGTACGTAAGATTGAAGAAGATTATGGTTTGCACAAGGTATTTTGGGAAAGTGTAGTTAATATGTACATCTAATAAATTAAAATTAAATTTAAAAAATTAACAATTTTTTTAACGAAATACATAATGTTTAAGATAACTCGAAACAAAGTGGAAATACATTACATCGAGGATGATCACTTTACTATCTTGAGAAACAAGAAAGTAGCAGCTGCGATTAATGGAGAGCCACTATGATATTGAATTATTCATTAAATATTACATTAATATATGTATAACATATATTACATTAATGTATATTAAAATACACGGCATTGATCATAATTAATTAATTAATGTATATTGATAACAATTTGTATATTCGAACATGTTATTAATAAAATGCCATAAAATATTTAATACAAAATATCTTTAATTGCCTGCAAATGATTTTTTAAAATTCATTTAAATTCTTTAATTTAAAAAATTTTTTTTATATATAATTTTTTTTGCTACTAGATTTCTTTCAAATTTTGCAAATATAAATATTAATTATAATGTGTATTAACTTACCTAAACTCTATTTCCTATTTGTGTTTGTATCTATGTAATCTGTGTTCGAATTTGCCAAGAAACTTTTATTGCCGCGCAAGTGCGAAAACTTTGGCTCTTGCGCGGCACAACATTACAACATTAAAACTCTATAATATATATAATTAATAGAACGTAACTGAAAGAAATCTTAAAAACACGACTAAAAGTTTTAGTTATGTTTTGGATGATTTGATCTATAATATTGTCTTGATTTGTGAAAACATTATTCTATTAATTTCGTGAGAAGGTAAATATTTTTTTGCGGAGAAAAAGAAACGAAAAAGATCGATATATTCTGATTATTTCTGATTATAAACGTTTATTTTTATCAAAGAAGCGTTTCTTTTAACGTTTTTTAAGTAGATATTTTAATCAATCAGAAATATTTTTGTAAAGTGTTATAAAATAATAAAATGTGTTTCAAAGACATAATTTATAAAATTTTTCTAAAATAAATACGTACTATTTTCGATAATTACTGCAATTAAATCAAATATTATAAAAACTTTATAAATATTGGTTTACGTTACTATTTTATTTAAATTGTTAGAAAAAAATTGCACACATATTGGTTACGATCGTCAATCTATTCAGATTATCAGATTATATTTTATCGGCTGACAGATCGTAAGTTTAATGAAGACATAATTAATGCCAATCTATTAACAACTTTTGTTCTAAATCTGAGTCTGTTGCCAATTATGCTAACATATTGCGCGTTCTTTTGGTTACCAGAAAACGAAATTGAAAAACAAATTGATCATTTTCATTTTCCATATTAAGCAATATGAGATAGATGTCATTTCAAAAAGTTGAAAATATATACAGAATTACATTTTTATTTAAATTTTTTTAATGTAAATGCTATTAATAGTATACTTCAAGTATTGTATTGTCGTGTCTATACGTTTGTAGTGAATTTTTTTGAATATTCTTGATTACAATTTTAATCTTTTATTTAATACTAATAATTTGATTTGCCTGTTGTTAATTTTTTTGATACTAATGTATGAAAATATCAATCTCATCTATATAAATATTATTTTTATCCATTGCATATTTTCCTGTTTTATCATCTTTCATCACATACGTATCCATCTGTATATTCATTTTGTTGTTGTATATAAAAATAACTAGTTTTGTAAGTGGTTTTAGTCCTTTTTATTGCAATATATTAGACGTCATTGTATTTATGTCCGATAAATACATCAAGTAAAAGATTTTATTTGACAAGTTTTCTTTTTTTTCGACTGTTAAAGCGTGTTATGACGTGTATAATGTATATTATACGATTATATAATATCGTATCGATTATATAATATCGCGGAGTGTGTGTGTTCATTTTTACCGCTACCATAACACGAATTTCTCATTATTCTTATTATTCTTATCGCTTTCTTTCTTACCTAAATATTAAATATTATACAAAATAAAAATCGTAAATGGTTGTAGTAAATCGTAGAATTATAGTATGCATACGTTGGGTCGCGATAGTTTGCGCTTTTCATTTTCTTTCTACATTTTCATTTCTGAAACTATCTAATAATTTTCTCTATATGTTATAACTCATTATTCATCAAAATGTCTAATAGATGGAAAGAAATTAAAACAAATTTATTTATTACAAAATTTGTTTAAAAAATATCACTATTAAATTAACGTCTAGCATTTCTTTTGCAATAATTTTCTTTCGCTTTATACAAGCAAAATAAATTTTACTCTGAAATTGTAAAACCAATTACTGTAATACTTAAGTAAATACTGTCATTTCTTCTATATTTAAACAATATACAGATTGCTCAAAACTATCGCATCATTCTTTAATAAATTAATAAGCTATGTCTGTTTGAACAAATTTTGTCAAGCATCTGCTAGAAATTTTTATCAGCAAAAAGATTACAAATTTAGAATTTATTAATTTCAATTATATCGATAGATTGTTAGCAGAATTAGAGCTTGCTGATATAATTGTTTGTTTAAAATTATCAGGCATATAATCAGGTTTTGTGAGCAGGTTCTACTGGCAGATCACAAATCTAATGAAAATATATAATATAATCGATAACAATTTATTAAAAAATTTTAAGCGAGAAAATTTGTTGCCAATTTGTTAGCATTTTGCTTACTAGTTTATTGTTAGAAGACCGATAAATTATTTATTGTAAAAAAATTTATTAAAATAAAAGAATTCTTTCAACGAAACTTTAAAAAATGCATTTGTATCTAAACTTTAGACTTTGACTTTTTCTTCTTTTTAAAATTAAATCTCAAATTAATTTTCTGCTAAAATTATTAAATCTTCATTTAAATTAATTAAGAAGCAAAATTTAGTTATACATTTTCAGTTTAAAATTATTTTACGCATACGCGCTGTTATTTTTTCTAATTGGAAATCTATTCTACGTATTCAAAAGAAGATGCAACAATTTTAGCGTATTATGTATACAATTACAAATTGAACAAAATTAGCGCTGCAATCTCATCTACACATATCTCAGCATTCGAAATTCTATTTTATAAATGCAAATATTGTTATTAAATATAATAATATTTTTCTAGACGTTATTAAGCGCATAAAAACGAGTTGTCTCCTTTTTTTTCTTTCGCACAAACTATAATTCAGCAACGTACGCAGAATATAGCAAAGTACATCCTTCATCGGAACCTATGAGAAATAATAAACATGACTCCAATCTTTTTTAAAAATCCTGTGAAAAATACCAACTTTTTCTTGCATTCACATTTTTGTTTCTTGTCACGTAAATTACATTGCGCGTATCCTTATTTATAGATAATATTAAATAAGTTCGCAATATTATTATTGTGGATATATATGTGTGTATGTGTGTGTGTGTGTGTGTGTGTATATATATATATATATATATATATATATATATATATATATTGTATATATGTATATGTGTGTATATGTATGCGCACACATTTGTGTGGACGCATGAAGATGTAATTTTATGTATAATACGTTATAGTCAATTTTATTATTAATTAATATACAAATAATGGAAGACATATGGCAGCACTAAAAGTGCTGATCGAAAGATTCTTTTATCTAACACGTTTATAGAACTTTTTTTATTTTAAGTTAACGTTTATCTTTATTTTGCGTGATCTATTTGCACGCATTTCGTTCGCATATTATATACTAACATAAGTTTATATATATTTATATATATATATATATATATATATATATGTATGTGTGTGTATATGTGTAACACACATATATACATATATATTTTCATTATTATATGGATATTTTTGATAAAACATATTATTTTTAAATAATTATCTATCAAGACCGATGAAAAATAAAATCATTAAAGTAATAAAATATTAAAAAACGTTAAAAAATAGACAATGCCTTGCATAGATGTCAAAGAATAGATAAATCACAAAATGATATGATACATACATATGTATAAACCTAAGAATAGATAAGAATTATTCTATAATTGATTATTTTATAATAGATAATATAATATAATAGAGATATAAATATACAAAGAATAAATAAGAATTATTTTATATAAAATAAATTCACAAAAATAATTAATAAAGATTTTGATTTAATAAGTAGATTAAATTTGTCTTAAATGCTTCTAATTACAAATATCTCTAAACAACGTGATAATCTTTTTTTCAAAGAATGTTCACACATGATGTTCAATATTCTATATCGCGATAATTACTGACGATTTTGCCGCAAAGTATAATCGCAACATTACAGCAATTGTGTTTCACTGACATATCATTGAATTTCATTTCTAATGATACCGGTAAAATTTGTTTTACTATAATTAAAGTTTTGTGACGCTCTGCGACACATACATATATTAACATATATTAATATAATATTTGTTACTTAAATCAAACACGCGAATAACTAAGCTCAACACACGTGGGTTTTTTAGTCTTTCCTCATAATCCACGCATTGAGATCACTCTGATCGGGATGCTATTTAATGACATATTGACTATTAGACCGATATTTTGACAATAAGTCATCTTTCTTTGAATATAATTCTATCTTTGTTTGTGTTTATAAAGATATCTACCTTTTATCGCAATTTATTATTGTAACATTTTATCTTTTACTAAAAAATGTGAGAAAGTGTACTACATAATAATAATTATTAATATCGCGAAATTTAAATCAGCTTAATAAATAAATATATAAATATATATATATATATATATATATATATATATATATTAAAATTAATTATCAAATATATAATAATATGCATATGTAATAATCAAACTATAAAAGATTACAAATTCCACGAATAATAAGCCACTTATTAAATAAACTGAACAGAATTGAAGATATGTGTTGTTGATATGTGTGTGTCGTGTGTGATTTCCGCTTTTTATTATTTTATAGGCGACGCGAGACAACATTTAATTTTATTTGCAAAGAGATAATGGCCGTTATTATAACTCATTCTTTTTGTTAAGCATAGTTCTATCGCATTAAACCCAATGTGAATTATATAATATAATAATAAATTTATTATTTTAATTTAAAATCAAAATTGTCGTAGAAGAATATTAAAACGCGGTTTCTTATTACAATATTTTCAATTTTCAATATTAAATATTTTAATAATCAATTAAAAAGATTGAAAAGATTGAAATTAAAACAATGTTTATTTTTGTCTTTAATATCAATATGCCTATATTTTTTCATAAAAATCCTTATTTTACCTCAAGTTTTAAATTTGATTTTAATATCCCGTACACGCGCGCGCATGATGGTTGCAAATTATTCTGTACTGTATTAGTTTTTCGATCTTTATAGTTGTTTCCTTAGACAATTTTTAAAATCACTTGGGAACGTCAATATCTTTAATTAGAAAATCTTTTATCAGGCTCGGTTTGACCGATATCCTGATAAACAAAAATTTTTGTCCTCATTTATATCTTACAATTGCAGCTATAAAACAATGAAATAGAGGCGATAACGCATAATTATACGAGCGTATGCGCGTGATTTGCGTATCCATGATACACTCCAACTACTAATTATGCTAATAATAGTCATACTTATGTTAATTATCATCGCTTTGTATTCTGATATAAATAATAATAAAATATTAACTAGCATTAAAAGCATGTTATTTTGTTTTGTTGTTGCCTCTGAGTTGTGTCATTGTGGTTGCGTCAAACTATGCATTTCTTCGCGTTTCTTATTCACCACGAGAACATCATCTTACTCATTGTTTTATATTAAATAAGAAACAATGAATATTATAGATTACTTGTTCTTTTTTTCTGTTTGTTTTTACTTCCTTATCAATTATTTCGTTGCTCCATGTGTCGCGCTTTCTATTCCCATAGAAACTTTGTTATTCAATCAATTATATCGTAGCTATGCGATTCTGCGGCTATTTCTGACGTGTACTCGAGATACAAGATAAATTTACAAGATAACATAAAGAGTTTCTCTCTTTTCTTTCTTTTACACTTACACACACATACACACACACACACACACACACACGCACGCACACACACACATAACATATAGAAGAAAGCTTTGTTTTGGAAGAAAATGTTGCTTTAGAAGAAGTAACAGTAATAAAGTTACTTTTAATATTATTAGATTGTAAAAATGATACTGATATGCGCTTATACATCTTACTTTACGAAATAAATAATAAATATACTGTACATTTATCGTAAAATACTTTTTTTGGAATAACGTAATTTTCATATGTGTGCGTTTGTGACACGGATGGAAAATTTGTCTATAGATCAATTATCATCATTAATATATCAATTATCATCATTTGTCATCTTCATTTCTCTAGAAAGTTACACCAAAACTTGTAATATCATTCCGAAAATTCTTTCAATAAATGCGAATATAAAATGTAATTCGTAAAATGACTGTTTCAAGTCAAATTTCCTTCGCGATACGGACCCAAAAAGGTTCAGCACAATACCTTACATTTTCAAATTTTATACTTCTTCGGGAGTATTAGTTTAGTAGACAATTTAATAACCAATAAAGAATAAACAAGAGCAAAGAGAATAAAAAAAGCAATAATAAAAACCCTCACATTTTTTAATCTCTGTTTTTTTACTCTTTATGATTTTATTATTTTTTTGCATTGCTTTCTTACTATATTGCATAGAATAAAGAAAAGCAAATAAAAGATGCATAGTCACATAATCATGCAAATATAGAATAATAAGAGAGTAGAACGATAGAGAAGTAATAAAAAAAAACAAAATAAAAAATAAGGGACTCAATATTATCACTTGACAATGAACATCATTGTAATAACCTGATTTCATCGCATTTGATGGATCTGAAACCCTCGACTGTTTTCTTGCATAATGACATTAAAATAATCACAAATAATTGACCAGCGTATAATTATGAGCAATAATTATGAGCTAATGAAATATAATAATAATAATAGAACTATCGTTTTTTTGGTGTTGTATAATAATATCGAGCTGTGTGTAGTTTTAGGCATTCCAACAATTATATAGGCGATAGACAAAATCATCACTTCTCGTATTGTGGAAAATGATGTGTCATCTGATAAGTAATTAAGTCTCTTATTTATTGCGCTGTTATTTTATTTTAAACATTCGATTTAGCATTATTTATATTTTAAATCATACATATTTTTTATGTTTATTTATAATCTTATAAAGAAAAAAAATATTCAAAATACGAATATATGATAGAATTTGAAGGAGGAAGACTTTTTTTTAAGTGAATCTCATCTATGATAGAGACAACAATCCTGCTGGCATAATGCTTCCATAATTTCAAAGAAAAGAGAGAACTACATTTTTAGAATAAGTAATATCATATTTAATAGAATCGAAAAAATTCATAATTGTTTCAAATAATGTATACCTAGTATGTCTTAAGAAAACAGATATATTTATCGTGAAAGAATAAAAAATAGGGAAGTTGAAAAATAAAGAAAGGTTTAAGATAGCTATCGTACAACTATTAGGTATTCTATCTTTCTCTAAATTTCTCAATTTTTTATATTCTCTTAACATTTCTATTTTCTTACTCTGGAACAACTGTTCCGCTGTAAACTCTTCTCTTGCATTGCTCTCTTAATACACATTTGTTACATTACTATATAATCATATGTAGAATAAAAAAATGAAGATTAAAAAAAATTTAGACTAGAAAGATGTCTCTTAGTATTGACGATTTAAGAATAAAACTTTCACGGAAAATAATTTTCAATTATGATTTCATTTTTCACCAGTTATCATATTCCATTTCGATAAGATTATTTGAATAATATCCTTAAATAAGAAAACCCTTCGTAAACAAACGAAGAAAGATGATTGTAATCAGAAACGTGACTATAAAAGTTTTCATAATTGGGAAAAAGCGTTACCGTTTCTTATGATGCATAGCGATTATGGATCGATTTCAAAAAAAGATTCATAAATCGGAATCTTAAATTAATTTAAATAAATTTAATTTCACACACAATAGGTTTTTAGAAATCACATTAAAAAAAACTTCAGTAAAAGTAAAAATAAAACTCGAAAAAATTACATTTGTTTCGATGATCTTTATATGAAGATTGATAATAATTGAGAAAAAAATTTGTTAATAGAAACCGTTCAAAAAGCTGCTATTCTATATTTAATATAAAAGCAGTTAAATTTTGCTTCATTACAATCAATTATAAATAATAACATTTTGTAATTATTGTTTAATTCAAAACAAAAAGATTTTATATGAAAACATATGAATTTACTACCAAAATGAAATAATTTGCTAACAATAAGTGCATTTTCTTATTACAGCAAAATTGTTATTGCAGAGTAAATATTAATTTGCCATATTATAATAAAATAATTTGCAAGTCACAAAATCACAAAATTACTTTTAGCAAATAAAACTAGTATTTCCGACAATCTTTACCATTCAAATTAAATCTAAGGAAACATTTGCTACAACAGCATGACATATATTATGCCAGTAAGCTTCTTTTTTCCATACAGTATCAATAAACTGTTACTCAAGTTTTTCTCAAGATCGTCGTATTACATGCGGCATTTATTGCTTTTAGAGGGAGGATAAATTTTGACGAGATATATATAAATATATAAGACCTTCTCGCCTAACAAAACTTATAATTGAATATTATAACGTAGATATATGTATGTGTATATATGTGTATATATATGTATATATACATACACATAAAAACATACATATATATGTGTATGCATACAAACATATATGTATATATGTATATATTTATACATACATATATATACCTAGAAGTCTGTCGAGAGTAGATCTTGCCAAGTATTTGCTACAAATTGTTGTCAGTAAAAAGGCTACAAATTTGATACAGAAGTTGTTATAACTGATTAAATCGGTAGACTGGCGGTAGAAATCGAATAGGATTTGTTTACGCACAACCTGATGGCAGATTGGAACTGCAACAGAAACTGAGCAGGATTGGCATTTTCTAATCATGCAAATAGAATAGTAACAGTATCAGATTATTAATGGATTCTGCTCGGTTTCTTTCGTCGACTTGCTTATCAGATTCTATGAGTAGGCTATGAGCTGGCAGATTACTAGGCTAGTATGAACTGATATCAATTTGCGAATAACTTCTGAATAAATCTGTTGCCAATCTGCTGGTATATTGTACGCATTTTACTGAGTACTACATAAACACACATGCATATATATCCAGATAGCCAAATCTGTGAAAAATATATATTACAAATTGTATGTTATGTTGGAAGAACTTCAATAGTCGTCGCATGTCTATTATTTTAATTAATGTCGGCAGAAATATAGTAGAAATTGAGCAGACATTATAACTATATAATAAAAATTGAGCAGACATCATAAATATAGTAGAAATTGAGCAATATCATAACATAAAAGCTATTCGATACGGCAAACTTTGGCTTATATTTTGCTACATATTTGTTATTACAACGTGATGTCGAACAATAGGTCAAATTTTTATTGCATTTCTGTCATATCAGCAAATTATGTTATGAGAAATTGAATTTATTGAAGAAGCCATGCAGCAAAATCTGCTACGAACTCATGGTTTAATTTTTTGTATTAAATTTTTCTATCTGGATATGTATATGTATGTATATATACATACACACGTACGCGCACCCACGCATGCACGCACATACGCACATAAGATATTTTGAAATACACCAACATTTAATAGTTAAAGTGTAGTAAAATAAGTACTTTTAAAACGACAATTCTTGTCTAGAAGTGTCGCGTTTTTCTATTATAAAATAAAAATATATGAGAAGCGTTTTTGAAACAGATATAAGGCTACTAGATTTGCGATGATTAAATTATAATAGATGCTGAAAATTTCAAATTTCTATCACAAAAGGCACTCAATTTGTATTTTCGAATTTAGCGTATTCAAATTATCCATCCATAATTTATATCATATATTTTTCTGTATTTTTCTTGATGTTTTCTGATAAGGAAACTATGTAAAATTTTTCTTTCTCCATAAATATAATTTGTAATTGACACATAAATAAAAACATAGCACTCAGCACGTATCCTTATTTCATTTTCTCATTTTAAATTAATAAAAATTAAATTGAACTTGATATTACAATTTTTTTTATTTCTCTTATTTTTTCACGTAAAGAAAACTGTTTATTATTGGCACCTGATGGCCTGAAATCTCTTTCAAGATACATTTAATTATTTTATTATTTTATGTAACGGAAAAATATTACATTTCTAGACTTGAGAAGTACCGCTTAAAAAATTCTTATTTTATCATTCCTTATTAATCTTTAAGCGTTGTTGGTGTACTTCGAAACATCCTACGTGTATGTGTGTGTCTGTATCGTAGACATATGTAAATAGACCAACAATCATATAATTTTCCTATATCGGAACTGTGAAGTTTATATATCAACAGAGAAACTGCAAAAATCATCTTTAAATATCTTCCTCTCCTCTTTCAATCAATGCTGAATGTAATACTTCGTCAGTATCGCTATTGGTCGCTCTTAAAGAAAAAAAAGATGATAATCAAAGATGATCTCCAACAGTTTTTCTTTAATTTCATTCTATAGATCAAATGATTGGTCTATATGTATATATATCTATAATATATGTGTATATGTGTGTGTGTATGTATGTGTGTACGTGTGCGCGCGTACGTTCATGTGTACATACGTGTATGTGTATTACCACCTTCATGTCGTAATAATCCGCGAATAAATATCTAATACATTATTTTCTTTTCTTTTACTTCTCTCCTTCTTTATAATTGTTTCATAGAAACAATAACACTAAATTCATTTTAAAAAGATAATTTATAAACATGTGTGTATATATGTGTGTGTATATGTATTTGCGCGTGTGTATGCGCAATATTATTTAATGACGATAAAGTCACGCAAGTAACAGCCGCACTATAACGATAGATAAGAGAACTGTAAGACTTAACGACGAGAAACTAACAAGACGGTCGGCGTTGCCACAATATTTAATTTCCATCTCTTCAGGGTGGTAGTTTATACATTTCGGTGGTCTTCGTCGGTACAAGCGTTCTCTCCTTGCCGTGCATGCTCCTGGTTCTGTCAATGCCTCAATAGGTTCAATACTCAATTGTTTACTGCCGCATGGACACAGCGTGTCAACCACCAACAATATTAGATTGGTGTGACGAATCTTTTGAACACTGAACGGTCTACGTGAAACAGAAAAAGAAAAAATATATTTGTTAGATCAGAAATTCCATTTTATCTTTGGGAATAGATGTAAATTGTAATACATTTTTAAACAATAATTTTAAAAGTTCGGGGAGAAATTTACTTTAAAAATTTATTATATTAATAATTACATAATTTTTTTATCATTTCAAAGACATGACACCGCGATTTAGCTTTTGTGTGTGTTATAAATTACCTTTCGCATCCAGTAACGTGACAATTAGTGAGCTTCCCCTTCAAAGGATTGCTCTGCCCGCTGGTATTAAGCCGTTCAGGTTGCAGAATGTAAAGATCTGTTTTCTTCTCGCATGAGCGCAATTTTCGGAAATAATGAGCGGAAGTGGCTCGAGTAGTTGGTGGCGAGGCTGGTGCAATTATCGGAAATCTCATATATATGTTGTTCTCATCCGATGCTCCCTCTTCTGTCGAATCGACAGATGTAAGTGACTCGAGGTCTTGAATTTCACCATCGTCGGAGATCATTAAATCGTCTGGAAAAATAAATACAATTTTTTGAATTAGTAAAAATGATAATGAATTTTCCTTTTCGCTCGCGTTATTTTTCCATTCCGTCATATCTGATCATATAGTAAACGTAAACAAATAATATGAGAAGAAATATTAAAAATAATTTTCTGAAAATAAATAAAGATGCGTGCGATATAAATAGTAGGTTCAAAAATTTTCAAGAATTTATTTATAACACATAAATAATTTTTAGAATTATTTACACCACGTAAAATAGTTCCTTTAAGCAACTAATAAATCAATTTTTGTCAATGATTGTAAAATTTTTGAAAACATTCTTTGAAATTATTTTTTGATAATTTCAGCGTGTTCATCATGTTTCTCGAGCTGTACAAAATCATTATACTCGTCACATTCGTTTTCTTCATTATATTCTTCGTTTCATTATATGTTTCTTAAAATATTTGAAATATTTCTGAAAGAAAATTTTGTAGCAAAAATTTCTTTTTTAGAAATTATATGATTGTTGGTCTATTGACATATGTCTACAATACAGACACACACATACACGCAGGGTGTTTCGAAGTACACCAACAACGCTTAAGGATTAATAAGGAATGATAAAATAAGAAGATCTTGCATGTTAGTCTATAATTGACACTTTTAAATGTGATAAAAGTGTAAGAAATGAATAATTTTCATTTCACTAAAATACACAATATACACGTTCTAAAGATTGCTGTCATAATGATTGTTAGCGTTCTAAAAATTGCTGTCACAATGATTGTGATTAATTTTCAGAAATTGCTAACAATCATTATGACAGCAATCTTTAGAACGTGTATATTGTGTATTTTAGTCCAAATTTCAGAAGCTTTTTTAACCTCTTATATACAAATAAACGAAACTTAAGAATACGTATATATTAAAAATATAGAATTTTACATATAAATTTATGAGATATTACCATCCAACGAATGCATTACATCATTAGCAAATGCTAATGTTGTTCGCCAGAAATCTTGAATATTGAGGCTTAAAATTAGAGTCCAAAGAAAATTGCCAAATGCCGCAGTTGTTTTTATAACAGAATTGGATATAGTTTGCGGCGCTGACGATTGATGAGATTCTTGAGGGCTACAAGTTCCTTGATAATCAATAACAGATACTTTCCTGGAACATCGCATAAATAAGATACATTAATAATAGCGATTAAATATCTTACAAATTTGTCCGATTCTATTTGCATAATTTTCAATTCTCTCTTATTTTAACGCATTTTTATAATACTATATACCTGTATATCCTATCTTGTACTAAGGAATCCATTATTGTCCCATCTATTTCACCGAAAAACTTTCCAGTATGTTCGTGACGTTCGCTTATAATGATAAATCCGTTATTATCTAAAATGTAACAGTCGAGCTCCTCCGACGCGCAATTTTTTTTACATCCTGTCATACCGGTGCACTGCCAAACGAACGCTCGGTATGAATTCGATATGTATCGTGCGTATGTATAATTATGCGTGAAGGATAAAAATCTTGCATCAACTTACCGTAGACGTGATATTGACGAAATGAGTTGCCAAAGACGAATGTTGAAATTGCAAACCCACTACTGCCGCCGGAGCTTTGTGGCTTTTCCCGATATATATCGCGTGAGTGGCGGTGACAAGCGGATCGATTGTTTCAGCTAATAATTCAATAATTAAAGGAATAATTTTAAAAAATAAAAATAATCAAAGATAACTCTTTTATGTATACTTGAAATATTATGCAAAACTCACGTAATAATATTTGCCAATAATCTTGTTAATCATATAATATATAGCTTAATATATAGCTTATTCTAAAATATAGTGCTTATAATATTTTAATTTAATAAAATTATTTTTATCAATCATTGATAAAAATAATTAAAAATAATTGTTATAAACACATAATTTATTACCCAATCCATTTGCATAAAAATAAATGTTATTGATTATGACATTTGTATATCTTTTTCTATTTCTCTACTTTTAATGCTTTTTACAGCTATTATTTTAATTTAATAAAAATTAATATGTAATAACATAATATTTCCAATACGTTATAAAGAATGTTTAATTTCAATATCATACTATTGTAAGTCATCAGATTGATTTTGGATTATTACAATGTGATGATAAAAATATGTAATTCCATTCTAAAAAATATCATTGATTTTAGGACTTTAAAATTTCAAAAAATATGACCATAAGAAAAGTTCTTTGTTCATCGTAATATTTGTCCCTTTTCAAACAAATATTATTTTTCTCTAAGATTTTATGTTATTAAAAATAAGAGAGATATTTAAAATCAAGTTAAGTGAGATATTCTATATACACGTTAGGTCTATTATATATTCAAATAATCTATTACATATTTACCCGCATCAAATGGTACGCTGAAGACGAAGCTTTCTGGCTCTATGGAATGTTGATCCACTGCACGTTTGTACCATGTTGAATCCATGGCTCTTGCATACTTTTCCGCGAATCGCCTGCATTCAGTCGTCAGAAAGACAACCATGTTTAATTAATTAATATCGATTCAATATTAATCACAGTAATACTTGTCGTTTTCCAAACTTTTGTACGAACAATTTAAAATATTGTTTTATTTATGTAATTTTAAGCTATATTTAGACTTCAATTACCATGATTAATCTTATTAATTAATTCGTATACATAAGACATAAAAATCTATAAATTAATTATATTGCTGTCATGTTGCCAATAATAATATATAAAACAATAATTGTCGATGTGACAGCAACTTCATAGACATTTCACTATCTGAGAATATTTTTATTATTATTAAAAATAAGCTCACGGTTCATCAGTGTTGTCATCGTTTTGTTGATGCTCGTGCCATCGTAGAAGTCCACTTCTGGTTGCGATGAAACTTCTAGTGACGCCAAATCTACCCTTGCCTTGACTGCAATTGTACATAAGGAGCTATGTAAATAGTATTCTTGATAAAATAACAAATATGCCACCGATACGCAATTATTTGCATATCCAAAAGCCGAAATATAAGTTAAACTAATTGTTTTAATCGTGGTTTGTGGAACAATTTCCTTTTAATAGCTCACAATGCTGCAGTAAATATTGATAAAAGAAGAACCAACTCCGATGACTTTGATCTTGATATAGTTGTCAAGCTCATCACTTTGAGTAATCCTAAAAAAAGTTTCAGCCATCGCTTGTTGATTAAAAAGTTAACAAACAAAGATTTATGAAAATCAAGATTCGAATGTAGACTTGCATACGCAATAAGAAAATCTAATAATCGGTAGTTTACATGGATATTCCTAAATATATCTACTATATTTAGCCAAACATGCAGATCTTTATATAAATGTTCAAAAATGTTCAAAATTAAAAAATGCATGTATGAGCAAAAAAAAAGTTTCACATGAATTTGCAACATTTTGCACGAAATAAAGTTCACCCCACATTATCTGATGCTTATAAGTATAACAAATCCATGAGCATGAGTTCTACATTAGCTGCATATTTGCATATTTAAATGAATGCATGAGCAAAGGAAGGACGTCATCCATCTTCTTGCATTCTTCCCTAAAAATTCTTTAATATAATTTAAATCCATTTTTAAAATTATATAAACTCATGTATGCATATATGAGTATGTATATTTATTTATTTATTTATTTAGAGAGAGAAAGAGAGAGAGAGAAATTGAATAGAAAATTCAATATTAGATGTAATTTATATAAACATTATTATCTATATCTTCTTTCTTTTTTTCTATATATTGTATATACATACTTTAATTTCAATTAGAAATAGAGATTTAAGTTAGAATTAAGTTAGAATTTTTTCGAGGTAAGGATACAAAAGAAAAGACAAAACCTTGTCTATATATTTAAATGTGCAGCAAATGTAAAATTTATATTATTATATTTAGAGATTTATAACTTTTACACGTGTGTGTGTGTGTGTGTGTGTGTGTGTGTGTGTGTGTGTGTGTGTGTGTGTGTGTGTGTGTGTGTGTGTGTGTGTGTGATATGTAGATAGTGATGATATTCATGTAAACTTTGTTTAATATTAAATTTTTCATTGCGGTTTTTGTTAGAATCTTATTTTACTGGAAACCTTATTTGTTAATAAATTTAATAATAAATAAGAATAAACAGTGAATCATAATTAAAACTTTTTAAGAGTTACTCAGAGTGATAATCCTACAATATATATCCAGTTTGACAATATATGTCAAATTCATCGAATTTGGATCTCTTTTTGCTAATATTTACCCATAGTTCTCGGCTATCTGTTAAAATGAGAGATCAAATACGAGATAAAACAAAAGTTACAAAACCGTCGACATATTCGAGTTATATACGCGATATTTGAGATTCTTTATATTCCTAACAATAAGTAAGAGATTATCAAGTTTGATTTTATATAATTTCTGAATTAAATTAGAGACAATAACATATTTATTACATAAATGCGTGCGAAAAGACGCAACGATATACGTATTTTAGCGTATATTTAATATCATTGTATTAATTATAATATAAATTATATACAGATAATGATAAAATCGAGAAAAATCATTTCTTATTGAAAATTCGACGCATATTAATAAAAAATAAATAATTGGAATGATCATCTCTTCTTGAATATTATATTTTTAAGATTAATATGTCATATAAAAAATGTATTTAATTTCTGGCAATAAATTAACATAAATTTTGTACATGATGATTTTATAATAAATATAATAAGTATAATATATATATAAATATATGTTGCCCTGATTGTAAGTTTATGTCAAAATTTGAAAACAAGAATAATCAAGAATAAAATAAGAATAATTAAAGAATTTAAAAAATGCATTTGTCTCATTTAAAATTCTTAATATCTAGTTGAATAATACTAAATTAATATTAGAAACAAACAATCATGTGAGTTTCTTTTCTTGAGAAATACATTGAAATAAATAAGTTTTTTGAGTATTACCATTTCATGTTCGATAATTTGAATTAGTAAAATATGTCAAACTTCTCTTTCTTTATTTTATTTATTTTGCATTATTTCTTTTATTTATTTTACATCAATAAATGTATGCATAATTTATCTGCATGTATCTATTCTTAAACTTTAAAATAAACTTTAATGACTGATAACTAATTAAGATTTTTTACAGCTATTTATATTAATTTACGAATTAAAAAGTTTTTGGCGTATTTTACTAATCTATATTATCAAATATGAATATTTGTATTTAAAAAAACTTATTTATTTTGATATATAATAATTCACAAGAAAAATAAATTTTTATATAATTCCTCTGATATCATAGTTCAATCAGGATTGCAATTCAATGAGGAAATTCAATTTCAATTCAATTCTAGATGCGCTTAAGTTCTCTTCTATTCATTATCTCTTAATCAGAATGCGCAATTTATATTTGTTATATTTCAGAGACGATCTCTTTGTTTTATTTCGGACTAAATGTGTAAAAAATAAATGAACTGAAAAGAATTGATAAGAATTCATTTGTATGAAATTGAATTTATTGAATGAATTCCTATTAATTTCTTTCGGCTCAGTTATTTTTTTTCACAGCAGAATTTTTCCGAAAATGAGAAGACTATAGTCGACGGCTGCCAAACATTTATTTTAGCTCGTATACTGACCATAGTCAACGATTAAAGATTATTTATCATAGCTATTTAAGTTAGGATTTATAACTTTATCTGCAGAATGTGTGTTTTATATTTTATGAAAATTAAATCTCTCACAATTGACACATACACGCGTGCGGACATATATATGAAATTTTTTTCCTGATATCACTTAATTTTCCACATATTTTATCAGGGTATTAAAGAAATTATATATAATAGAGAGTTTCTCTTTTTTTAAATTGAACCTTAATTTTAGTATATTTTCACATATACTTTTAGAAATATCAATGTTATATCCCATCCATATCATATCGTTAAGTAATAGTGCACATATTTGCAAATACATAGCATATATATATATATATATATATATATATATATATATATGTATGTATATATACATTGCATAGTTTCGCATTCTTTTATTCGGATTGAAATTTTGGCCGTTTGCTTCTTAAAAAATTGAGGAGATTTTATTCCTTCAAAATAATTCCAAAAATAATTTCCACAGGCATAGAAAGCTTTCTCTAACTGGCGTATGAGTTACTTCTTCTGAAGTTCACTAGCTACGAAGAGAAGAAATTTTGTGTTGCGGTAAGAATGTTAGTTTTCCTTTTTCAAAAATTTTCTGGCTTATATAAGACCAAAATCAACGAGGCTCTATTGTATGTACAGAAAATACATTATTAAAAATAAAAAGAAATTAATTCTTCTTGAAATTTATCATCCATCATATTTATCATCCTTTACTAGCTCGAAAAATTTAAATTGTGTTTCACATAAGAAGCATATTAATTTTGTTAGATTAATATTTGATTACATCATTAGTTCTCTATAATTTCTGAAATATTCAAATAAATATAATATATATACGAGAAAAATACATTGATTTTCAATGCAAAGTCTAATCCATATCGGTCGATGCTTTACATGTTTGGAACGAGGTTTATAATTTTATTCAAAAAGTTAAATTTATATGAAATCATATAATTATAAATTTTATTTTAAAAATACCGAATAATGTGAGATGAATTTTATTTTACATGGAAAGAATAAAAAAAAAGAGAGAGAGAGAGAGAGAGATATGCAAATGTAAAGCTTTCTCTACGTTCACATATTATATTTTAATACATATGAATATCTCAAACATTAAATATGAAGCTGCCAATTAAATAAATGTTAATCAGTATCTTGATGTCTATAATGTTATGGCCAAAATTACTGAAGATATGTTTTTTTAACGAAAATTATTATTTTTTTAATATCCTTTATGTACATATATATGTATATAATATACACACGCGTGTGTGTGTATTAAAATAATAATAATAATAATCTCTTTAATATATTAATATTAATATTTAAAAATTGTATGTGTATATATAGCGAGTGTGGCACGTAAAATGTGGCAGATAAATATCTTTAAAGCTATTAAAAATAGAAAAAAATCTTAGCATCAGTAAAGTTAAACTATTTTAGAGATCATACTTTTGAGACATTTATTTTTTTTCTACGATTGTATCAAATAAATTTCAAAATATCTACTTTTTTTTAAATAACACTGTATATGCTTGAATCTATACGACTGTAAATTTGACTGATGAATTTAACTATAAGCACGTCTACATTGAAGAAAAAATAAATATATCCGAAAAGTAACTCTTTTAAAACACTTCAACTTTAGCTATTAATATTTTCTTTTAACTTCAATAGTTTCGGAGATATTAACCTGTCACACGCTTCACTCTATATGTATGTACGTGTGAGTTGAAAAATTATGTATTATACATAATCTATATAAAATATATATTATATAATATAATATATGTATATGAATTTTTTAATTTATATATATTTAACAGATTATAAGTTTTAATTTCTTTGTGTGATTTACTTGTGTTTCTTCATAAACAATCAAGATCATTTCGATTGTACCATCAGTTTTAGTATAGTATAGCTTTTATACATATGTATATATGTATATATGTATACATACACACATATACAAAAGCTATATTACCACCAAACGTACAACTTGATATATTTTTTATGCTTATTATACACAAAAATATATTTATTACATCTATAACAAAAATTGCTAAAAACAATTGCATCTTTTATATTTTTATCCATCAGAATAAACACACTTCAACCAATAAACGATCATCAAAAAGTGGTATTACCGTGCATTATTGATATTGAAACGTGTTTAACGTGTTAGACAAATAATTGTGCATAATGGATTACCTGTGCAGTAGAGCCATCAGTATGGCAATAGGGCTAGCGGTGGAGACACACAATAATAAAATGTAATAAAAATATGCAATAAAAGATAATATTGTGAAATGAAATGTTGAACGGTTGCTCAAAGTACATTTCGCATATTACTTCGAGTGATAATTTGTCACATTGATCTCTTTTTATATGTATATATATATATCGGATATATATCAAATAACGTGCGAACAATTTTTATCACCTTTGATATCCTATTGTGTATGTATGTGTACGAAGCTTTTCTTTTATATATATATATGTATATATACAGACTTGATAAAGAGTTCTGAACAATATTCGACGATTGTCAGAAGCTTTATCCATCTAGATGACACTAGAAATATGTTGCATTTTTAAGTTTATTTCTACACCTTGCAAAACAGTTATGCAAACCAGGACGCATCACGGGCTATATAATCAAGGCGCAGTGTGGCAGCTGAATAATTTGCAAAAGTAACCGGCATTATACGGTGCGTGATAATGAACCGCGTGCTTGTGCATTGCTGTGCTCGATCGCAATTTGCAATAGTGATGTGAACGGGTGAGAGTAAGAGACAGACGTGCATTTTTGCTTACTGCTGACGGAGAACTTACTTGTCATTTTCCTCTTTGTGCATTCTTTGTGCTTCTCTCTTATCGAATCCATCTGTTACTAGAGCATCCAAAACTAGGGATTGCACTAGTTTCTTATCGCCTGAAATGTGACAATCAAAATTAATTAAAAATTATTATTCCTATTGATTGACATTACTCATAAAAGCATAAGATAAATTAAAAAAACGAATATATTTGCAATTTATTTAAAATTAATTTTTCTAATTAAAATTAGAAAATGTTTTAATACAAACTATTGTATTATTTCTTGCTTGTTTTAGTTTAACTACATTATTTTCTCAAATCACTTTTAAACATGATTTAAAGATATTAAATTAATATAAACACTTACAATAATAAGCATCTTTATCCGACTTGCTCGCTTGTTTGTGATGCGAGCTAGGACTCCTTGGTCTCAAGGACATCCATTTCCAACCCGGTCTACGCGTTCGTGCTAAAAAGTGCAAGACGCGTTCTTCGGGAGAGGAAAATAATTTATCGGAAGCCGAACTATATTCGCAATAGACCCAATCGGGATGCACTTTCCAGCTGACCCCTTTGAAATATTCTGTTACTACAATAATAATAATAATAATAATAATAAACGTTTTAAAGTCATTTCGGAATATTTTCTTTTTTTACGTTCTATTTCTTCAGATATCGTTCAATAATAATTGAAAGCTTATAATAGCGCTTACCATTTACAATAGCGAGTTTGATTTCGTGCTCGGCACGTAATTCGAACATGCCATATCCTTCTGGCAAAGCTAGGCCTAAAGAAAATGGTGTGCCTTCGATCGGCTTGTAAAAATAGTTGTGCCGTCTGATCGTAACTCTTTTCTGTAAATCAACATATATTGCATAATCAAATAAAAATTTTAATTCTACAATATATATGTATAATCAAATATATATAACCATTTATACAATTGCTTTCCTAATAAATATATGTTTCATAATTATATTACGAAAAGATTACTCATCGATTTGTGTACACTACTTCTTTTATCTTTAAACTATTTCACTGTCGTCAGATTTCACCTATTTCTGTCAGTTCTTAAACAGCATTCAACATGTGACAACGATAAATTTTTGAGTGCAAAGAGAAAAGAAACTCCTTCCCTTGTATTCCCAATCCAGGAAAATTCTAATCTAACCCAAATTATTTTGTATTTTTTAAAAATTAAAATTAGATTTGCATTAAATAAAAATTTTTTTGGAATTGGTAGTGCAAGAAGAAGACTCCGTTGTTCATGTATATATATTTTGCAGTAAAATAAAACAATAAAATATCGTTTTCCACGCGAAGAAAGTTAGAAATTTATTTTTCTTTATGCGTATTTTGCTTTATGATCCACGTTTTAGATGTTGCAAACTTATGTAAAATTATATAACATTATAACACTGAAAGCTAACAATATTGAACATGATATATCAGTATCAAAGTCAAAATCAAAGTCGGTAATATTTATTTATATTACATTTAAGATATATTTTTAAATGTTTAAAAAGTAGAAAAATTTGAAATGATATATCTCAGAAACTGCAAAAGAGTTCACAACAACAAGAGTGATTTAAAGTAATTCAGGACTCTATCCACTATAATACATATAATGAAAATCAAAGTGAATCAAGGTCTCTAATTTTTTCGTAATAATTATTAATCTTTCATATCTTACCATATTGTCATAATGAATTTTGATTGTAAAATCTGTTTCTCCTTCTTTTTGATCGATCATATCACGTCTCAACTGAAAAGAATATGCGATATCACTTATTATTATTCATTATAGTAGCAATAAAATAATTGAAACACACATGTAGACATTAAACTTACATCGAGTAGGAGAGAATTGTTTGGAGGGGTTGAAGGGCCATCATATTCTGCGAGTTCAACTTCCGATAAATCCACACTTATATATGTAGGCTTTAGCGTTTCATCATACTAAAAAAAATATATACATATTTTTTTTCTTCAAAATTTTCAGATATTCGAATGTGTGTGTGAAATATAATTCGATAGCTTTGGAACATATAATAATTTTGTATATACATTATTGTGTATATATTTGACTCTTTCACACTTACTTCTATATTTCCAGGCTGCGCATGAAACATTCATATAATTATAATATCATGATATTATATATTTCTACAAGAAATATACATAAAAAAACAAGTAGGATTTTGTGTAATTACAAGCTTTTGTTATTGAAATCGTGGATAGCTTTGAAAATTTATGCGTCACATGTGTGCAATTTAATGCATGCTAAGATGTGACGAAAGTTAGCTACTACTAATTACAAAATTACAAAATATTTTCAAGATATATAATTTCGATTATCTTTTATTATAATAACATTAATACTTACGAGAGGCCGCAAATCAGGATGATACAGAACTCTGCCATTATTGTCAACAATAAACGAATATCCGTTAACTCCTAACTGTAATTAAAACAGAGCATATTAAGATATTAATAAAATTACAGCAAAAAATTTGTATGAGTAAAGTTAATTATAATCTTCTCTAGTTTTTATTAAATTTTTTTATTTTATTATGTATAAGAAAATGTAAGAAGCTATAATTGTAGAAAGAAAGAATTTTAATGCAATAAAGAGCTAATAAAAAAAAGCATAATCCGTACCTTGTAAGGCGGCACGAGTTTCTGAATCTCCTCAACAGGTACGTCAGTACCAACGATACCCAATAAATTGGCTGTTTTTACCTTTAAAAAAACGATAGAAGAACATGAAGTTCTTTAAGTATACACATTATTTTAGTATAAAACATTGAAGCAACACGCAAGATTAAAACAAGACTTATTATTTTTAGATAATTACCGTATAATTTCGGCGATCTAAAATTGGAGCTGACACGGACGTCATTAGTTGACCGCGATTTTCTCTGCCATACATACTACTCTGAAAATCAATCGTTATTGTTATAGAGTGTCACAGATTATCACGTATATGAGATATTAAGAAAATATTAATATTTTAAAAAATATTTTCCGGAAGGTAAATTAATTAATATGATGATTACATAATAATTTTATTATCTTATTATTGTAATAACGTGAATTTAATTGAATTTACCTTTCCACCTATATAAGCAGGACTCCAGTGAAGAGGATGATCATGCTGATAGAGTACCATAGGCCGTGCTAGAACCTTCACGTACTCGAAGACTTTATCATGGATTTCGTCCACGTTTGTTATTCTTGCATAAAATCCTACGAGGTTATTATTGTAAATATAAGGAATTTACAAAAATTTTATTCCTCAGGCATTAATGAAATATTAAAATTTTATTTTTAATTCCTGTATATGAATTTAAATGTACATACACTCAATTATTTAAAAAAATAGAGTTTGTTTCAATAATAGTAAAAGAATTTATTAAATAATAATAAAAGAATTTATTTTTTAAGTAACAGAATTACTTTATTTTTCCATTCACACTCCTAAAAGAAATACACACATTGTCTTAAATTTATTATTAAAAATTTCACTTTATTGCATTAAAAAATTTGTTATAAAACACTTTAAAAAATTATAGTAAAATAAATATATTAGTCCATTTAAAAAAATTAAATTATCATGAACAATATTTAAAAAAATAATTTAAAAAATTTTCATTTAAGTGATTATATATAAATAAATTTGTTTATAGAAAAATAACTTTTACTCAAAACACTTTTTGATAATGCTATTATAAATAAAAAATATAACTGAGTGTATATATATTTAAACATACTGTACGCAGGTTGTAACTATACAGGATGAGCAATGTTTCCCCAAAGTATAGCCATATATCTTCTACGCCCTGTTATACCTTGTATCCTTTTTTCTAATTTCTTTTAATTCTTTCTTAAATATATTTTAAATAAATATCTTCACACAAAATTAGATTTTTACATTAATATAATTAAACATTGTTAATAATTGTCCATAGCTATAATTGCTATAGTTACAGTTAATTTACAATATATATTTTCAAATTATAAACGAATAACGTTACCCTTATTAGTGCAAGCCGTGTTTCGGAGCTCGGGACTTTTATCACCGCCGATGAGGTAAGTAAAGATGCGGACAGGCATGTGCGGCCAATTATAACGTTTTATCACTTCCACAGGCGGGCCACCAGTATCGCAGGTGATTAACATAATGGCCTGATTGCACTGACTCCCCTGACCGGTCCTGTTATATTTGTGCAAGATCTCAAAGGCAGTGCTGAGCGCGGCTGAGATGTTAGTCGCAGGATCCTCATGTTTCACGGAAGATAATGCTATCTTCATTTCGTGAATATTCTCTGGTGATGCCTGCACCAAACTATCCTTGAAACATTGTACGATTTCCTCAGCATTTTCACCATAACGATATACATTCACGTAATCGTTCGGTCCTAGGGTGTCTAGAATGATTTTCGTCGTGGCTATTGTTAATCGCCGATTTTTATCAGATACATAAGTCGTGCTATCGATCAATACTGCTAAATCTCTCGGGCTATTCGCCGCTCCGATAAACCAATTCAACATCTTAAAATCGTACACATCGCGAACAGCTCGATGATGCGAGGAGGACTTGAACCTTCCGGATGTAGCCTCCATCGGTGGCCAAGATATCGCTGTAATAAAAAAGACAATTATTATTTTCGCGCGGTTTTCAAGACCTATCAAATAAGATTTCAAACATGAAAAATAATCTTCTAGCTCTTGAAAATAAGAACTTTAAAGAAGTTAATATGTTTATAGGATTTTTATTTAAGTCTTGCAAAATAATTCTCTGATTGTAGATTCCTTGATCTTATAGATTTTTATTTAAAAGATAAAATTAAGAAATTTTTAAATTGCAACTTTCTAAAATAAGTTTTTTTTTATTATAAGTACGTTTTGTAACGCTTTCACTCATATGACGAAAAACAGTTACTTTTCCAATGCTAGATTTACAAAATAAATATTAAATACAATAAAAATTAAATAGCTTTAACGTACACATTTTTTTATAACACTTTCATTTTGTATCACTGAAAACTAAATAAAGAATATGTAATGCATGTTTAATAGTTTAATATTTAATACTTTAATATGCATAATATAATCTTGTCAAAACATTGAATATATAAATAGAAAAATTTAAATATATATTTATAATATATTTTAAACATATACACATATATAATTCACAATTTCACAAACAATACTCTAAAAAATGATTTAGAAACTTATCGACTTTTAGATATCTTTTGACCTTTTGTGTTATTTGGATTCATTTATCAGTACGGATTGTCAATTGATTACAATATAAGAGTAAAATTATAAAAAAAAACGTTGTTTAATAAAATTTTTCAGTTCTCAATAAAAATCGATTTTCTTTTCCAAGTATAGAAGAAATTTCTAAGAATTCTAGGTTTTGTATATATTTTTTAAGAGTAAACATCTTGTCTAATTAGATTAATTTCTAATTTTATATTTTTCATTTATTTTATGGACTATATCTACCATATAACATATGTTACATTACATATTACATTTACGAATGAGAAATTATAAATAATCAATGACTTACCAATGACTTAACATTTATGCAATAATATATATAATACCTACATTTAATTTTGATGCATCTATATTACATTAACATTACTGTTTAATAGACATGTTCTATCTTTATGGCATTTTTATCATCATGTTGTGACAGCAAGCTATGCTTAAATTTTGTTGTCGATATTTATATATTTTAACCGCGTTTTTCTCAATAATGCTCAATTTCTACTTCCAAAATGCGCATATATATCAATAAATTACCAACAAATTTACTCAGAAATTGCTAGCAAATTGGCATCAATTGTATCCGCATCTGCTGGTAAGTTTGCTCACAGAATTTAACAGCAGATTGAAGAGGCAAAAACCAAGTAGGATCTGCTAATATAATCTGAGATTAGATTGGCGGTAGAAACTGAGTAGGATCTATGTACACACAATTTGACGGTAGACTGCCAACAAAAACCCAGCAAACTCTTAGCTGTTTAAATGGAGAAGCAAATAAGTATTTATGAAAATTCTTAATATTTGATTCAATTTCAGTAAATACAGTTATAACAATGTTACATAAATATAATGAAACAATATTACAGGTGCATGAACTTCACTAGTGAATAACCGATTGATTGTCATTTTTCTCTCATAAATATAATATATAACATATGTATATCGTTGTTACAACAAACATTTAATTCACTAAATATTAAAAAAATAAAAATTCAACTAAAATATTAAAAATTTAATTAAATATTAAATAAATAATAAAATGTATAAATAACATATGTGTAGAAATAATTAAATTTAATTTATAAGATTCGAGATATAATTATATATAATTATACGTAGGAATCAATATATGTAGAAATCTCTTACTTTATGCTTTAAATAGATAGCAGACAAATAATTATCCATTTATTCTACTGATTTCAATCAGTTTAATATTCTAAATTTCCTGTTGGGATTATACCGGATATTAAAAATTAAACTGATAAAAACAATTATTACAGTTTTGATTTTATATACATTAACACAACTTGCTACAGAATTTGCATGTTCAAGAATATAATATATATACTTAATTTATGACATTTTGATGAAAAATTTTAACAAAAGAAAGATGTGTGCTTTGTGCTACTGCCTCATAAGATCTTCGTTCGTACGTGAATATTTGGTCAAAAAACAAGTATACCATCCATCATATTCGTTAAATTTGTCTGTTTGTTACTTTTTGCTATTCTCAAAAATGAAAATGACATAATAAAAAAAACATTGTACAATGATATTGAAATACAAGACATTGCGAAGAGGATCATTAATTAAAAGATCATCCCAAAGATGAATTTACACAAATTCATTCATGCATTAGTTCAATGTGCTCAGTATTGATACAAAAGAGACATATTTTGATTTTTAGTAAAGTAAACAATGATTTTTTTATTCAAAACATTATTTCTAAAACTGTATGTTGCTCCATTTAAAAAAATTCGATAATCTTAAAATTTTATAATATAACTGTGAAAAATAATTCTAGCTTATCATAAAAAAATATAATAACATAAACAAGATTTTGTTTTTCTTTTAAACAAATTGATTTTGAAGATTGGAATACGCGTGCATTTGATTAGTAATGCGAATCAATTCAACAAATCTTGCTATGTACAATTATTTCTGTTCGTTTATTCATTTATTTGTAAACAAATAAATAAATAAATTGTAAGTAATTAGTTCACATTTTTTAAATTCACTAAACAATTCGATTCTCGAAAACGAATTATATGAGAAAATTTCATTTTACATTTTTGATTTACATTTGCATGAGGAATTATCTTCAGTTTGCTTCTATCTCCCTATTCCTATATATCCAATATATATGTATATTTATATATGTATATATTATATATTTATATATGTTGTATATATATATATATATATATATATATATATATACACACACACACACACACACACACACATATAAATCGTCCTAAATACCTGGAAAACGACGTAGAAATCCTGCCGTCGCTCCGTAATATTGCCATGATAGTGTAGGATCACTTTCATAATTATTAACAAACAAAAGGTCTAAATATTCGCTCCATTGAATGCCCGAAGCAACATCACGGTCTGAAAGCAAACGATTAATTTATGTTAAACATAATTAAGGCAAACTATTTTTTTAATAACTAATCAATTTCTTTTTAAGTTTGAACTATACCAATTAAAAAATTGTAAATATCTATAAGGTAAAGTATTTAGATAAATGTCATTTGAAATAATTACTATACACTATAATGAAATAACTGCTATACATAAGAAAATATAATATGTATGAAAAAAATGAGAAGAAAAATAATAAAAAAACATCTCTTCTTTTTTTATTATTTTTTATATAAATTTAACATAATGTAAAATTATTTTTATTTTTTAATTTTATATTAAAATTACTTTGTGTTTTTTAAATGAAACAATATTTTTATTTTAATGCCACGAAAGCGCAGAAAGAGATGAATTTAACATATTTATTTGAAATGATTTCTATGACTTTCCAATTCAAAGTCACAGAAATGAAAAAATCTAAAGTCACAGAATAAAGAAATTATTAAAATAGATGAGAATCAAGATTTATATTACACTATTATTTATTTTATTTACTTTATGAGTAAATGAAAAGTAGAAATATTATAAAATGTGAGTTAAGGTGAATTATTTAATAAAATTAAATTTTTTAAAGATCACTTCAAATAAGTCTGCTAAATTCTTATCTTTTTCTATGCTTTCATAATATTGAAACAAAAATAAAGTGTTTACAAAAAATTGTGATACAATCTTGAAAAATTCAGAAAAAATTATTTTGCATTATTATAGAGATTCGGTCACTGACACTACATCGCACTAGCGGATATTTAAAGAAGATATGCTACTGCATATTTAAATGGACAAATATTTTCACAATGAAATAATTAATGTATATTTTGCTAAGAAACGACGTATATATCATTATTGAATTTTAATTCTAAAATATTTATATTATCATTTCTTTTATATTTAGATAACTTTATAGCCTTATATATCACAGCCTTTAATATACTAGAATAATGCGGCTTTGACCGAATTCATTATCAGAAAATTTCATTCTATATAAAATGACTTATCTAGAGACATCCTACATATTAAGATCCGTACATATGCAATTTTTTGCGCATATCACGATACATATGCAATCTTTTGCGGATATCCAGAAAAAGATAGGGATGTATGTGGTAGGAGGTCGGACGTGTCTTTACGTCCATTTGGTCAACGAGCGACAGAATCCATCCATGGCAACGGCATTGACGCATATCCTGTGGAGATAGCATTCACACATTTTTCAGCCTAACGAATAATTGCTAGAAAACAATATTCGCAGACTAGAAAAATATGTGAGGCGCAAGTGGCTGGATCGGGAATTAAACCCGAGTCTTTCGCTTTCCGGGCAACTGCTCTAGACTGAGCTATCCAGACCTCACACCTAATGCTGCTTTTTAACACAGTGATATGCGAGCGATGTTGGTATCTCATTCAATGGATGCAATGCCAATTGCCACGGAGGATCCGTGAAAGGTCTCTCGCTGACCAAATAAGTGCCAGTGGAGGTATTCGCGTACATGCTGGCTTCCGACTGGTCTTCCGTATGAAAACGGACCTTGGGGGATGTGATCACTCTACGGCATTGTGCATCGACGAGCACAACGCCGTAGAGTGACCACATCTCCCAAGATCCCTCTAGAATACTAAAATCCTCACTGTATCAAATAGCAGTGGCGGATGGACCCTAATATAGGATCGGGGCAGGCCTCCAGAAAAATTTTTAATTAATTTTAATTATATCGTGATTTTTTAGAACTAGCTGTATAGTGCAATACTTACCACTGTCTTTAACTCCACTTGGTAATAGCACGGCAGACAAACTAACGTTCACTGCTAAATGGTCAAAATGACGATTTACAGTAAGGAACATTTCCTGCGCGCCACCGGAACTCTTTCCATCAGTAACAAAGTTATTAAGCCGATGCGAAGCGTAATATTTAGGCGATACATTCCCTTCTTTTGGCACCGATACTGCAGCTTGCTCGGCACTCTCCACCAATCTCTGTAAACATAACAGATTATGTTATATTTCACAAATGTGCGTTCCATTTTTTGCACGTCTATTTGTGCAACAAATATGTATCAAACTTTTTATCTAAAATTTTGCATAAAAGAGAAAATATAATAAAAAATTTTAGTTTTATTTCACGATGTTTTTTTTCTTACTCTCAAATGTAATCAAAATAATGGATGATGAAAAATGACAAAAGAAGAAGAGATTATATATTTATATGTGCATTAGATTTTTTTAAAGGCATTAAAGGCATTTTGTCTGCAGCTTTATTACATGCATTATTATTTTTTATTATATAATATAATGTAGCGTATTTATAAGTTCATTCATTATCATCAGAATTTGGATGAAACTTTGTATGATGATTAAGTATATACATTATTTAAATATTGATAAGAAGATTCAATCCAAATTTTAATCTTGAAAATTTTTTACTAGCACAAAAATAAAGATATCTCAGAATCGGAGTAAATTTAAGTAAATTTATCAATAATTCACAGTAAATTTATCAATAATTTAGCAGAACAATTATTTTCCCAAATTTTTTAAAATTTTAATATTCAATATAATTCTTAAAAATTCTCTTTTACAAATTGCTTGTACTAGAGTTTGCATATTTCAAAGAGAACAACGAAGAATGTATTCCATTTTCTCTACTCTAAGGCTATATATATTAATATCTATTCATATTATAAGTTCGCTTCGTTGAATCACGTTTTTATTGAAAATTTCCTCATTTTTAATGATTTATTGAATAGCTCTTTGAATCTTATAGAAGCAGAACATTCAATCTTCACCAATTCTACAACCTTTACAATGTTATGCGCATCTCTAATTTAATATAAAGAATCTAAAAATAATATGCTCTAACGAAAAAATAAGATATTAGCTGAAAAAGATATGTATGTATTGGCGTACCATCACAGCATTCATTTTAAAGTCCATCATATTTTTCACTTCCATGGCCATTTCCCGAACAAGGACGAGACCATCCCTTTTCACGACGTTTGCATCCATTTCATGGTATTTCTAAGTGTGAAATAATAGAAATCGCATAAGAAATGAAGCTATAAAGTTTTTCATTAAAGAAAAATTTGAAAAATTTTTAAATGTAACTTATGTTCTCTGATGTTTTATATAAAAATATATATAAAATATAAAATTTTGGTACACACACAATTGCAATATCTTTGTACAATTTGTTTGATGGATATATATATATATATATATATATATATATATATATAATAATTAAATGTATGTTAAATATTAAATATGTAGATATTATCTTACTCTCTGTATCTCGCTCATTTTAGTTACTTGTTTGCCAAACTCCCATAAATCCACGCCAAACTTTAAAGCCCAGTTTTTCACTCTGTAATAATTATAATAATATTATTATATTTCAAATACATGCATATATTCAGAAAAGATTTGAAATATTTACAAAGGAAAACAAAATAATATGAAATGAGTAATTAATAAAAAATAATTATTTATAATTATAATAAATATATATTTTTATACACTTCTGTTTATTAAAATTATATGACACACATGAAAAAAATTTTCGAAACAAAGAATATGAATCAGTAAGATTTTGTCTTTCATGTAGAATTTATTTTAAATTAATTATAATAAAAAAAGTAAAATAATTAAGAGCATAACAAATTCCTCTTTTCCTCTTTTAATTTCAATAGATATAAACAGTTGTATAATTTACATTGTATCATTTTGCTGTTCTCAGAGAAAAAAATTCTTTTTTCTTAAATATAATATAATAAAAAATAAAAATAAAAATTATTTTATGTCGAATCTTTTTATGTTTGAATTCTTTCTACATATATCTTATTTCCCATTAATTCGTATCTATAGGCAATAGTCGATTAATGCGCTTCCTTATTTCCATCCCCCTCCTTCCATGCCTCCTCTCTATAACGCCTTTTGCATATAATCCTCTTTTTCCATCTCTCTCTATTTCTTCATATTTCTTTTCCTCTCTCTAGAGGACCTAACGTATTTTTCTTTTAGACCTTTCCGTTTATATCCTTTTACCCTCTTTTACCTCTCTCACTTTTCCATCTCATTCTCCCCCTCAATCCTGCATATTCGCTTTTCTTTTAACATTGCTCACATCCTTGACAACGTTTCTCGTCTTCCCTCCCCCATTCCCTTTCCTCTCTCTTTCTCTCTCTTACTCTCTCCACTACTTTTTACTAGCTCTCCTTTCCTCCCTCATGCGCTCCTTTATTTCCCCACCCTGTTACCGCATGCTCGTTCTCGCCTTTGCCCTAGCGCTCCTTCTACTCCCTATCGAGTTTTGCTCGTCGAGCTTTATGCGCCCCATCCGTCCGATCGCTCACACATCCACCGCGCCACCCCCCCCCACTTTTCCCATCATCCCTCTCTGTTCCCTTTTTGTCTTTTAGGCTCTCCTCATGCGTCATCGATGTCCGATGATGCATAAGCCTGCCGGATATTTTTCATACAATTTGTCATTAAAAAATCGCTAAAAGTACAAGAAATTGCTTACTCATTGTGGGGTATGTCCTCCTCCTGCTGGCAACTCGAGCCTATCCACAACAGAAACAGTATCCCAAAGCGTAGTAGCCTGTCGTCAATGCGCAGGAACATTATTTCAACAGTTCTCAACAATTATTTCTCGAATTCCTCTCCCTCCCTCTCTTTCTCTCTCCGTTTCTCGTTGTTCTCGGCGCGTAGCCCGCGTAAACCCCTTTTTCTTCGCGATAATTTCGTGTGATTGGCGATCGATCGTCGAAGCAGGGACCGGGGACCAGCGGCGTACCGGCTCGACGCCCGTCGATTTAATGATCTTCGCGCATCGTCCATAGGTCGGTACCGTGTTCGGATTTCTTCCTCTCGTTCTTCCTCCGGATCAATCTCAAGCGCATCTAGCCTACTACTCACTAATCTCGCGAAACTCGTAATAACTCCCGACCTGTCACTCGCTCGCGCACGTGTGTACAAATATATATATGTACAAGTCGCAAAATCGGATCACACACAGCGATGAAGCCCCGTCTTCATCCCCGATGTTTTTCCATTTTCGCCAATAGTGGTCCACGCTACATGCGCCACGATGACGGCTCCGTCCGTCGATTCGATCATTTCAACGGAGGTAGGCGGAAGGAGGAAGGCGGCGGCGGCGGTGGCGGCAGAGAGCGTTCCGGGCTATGTGTATCGTTCCGGAACGTGTGCGTCCGAAATGTCACTGCCACCTCCGGAGCCGAGCGCGACCACATGATTTCATCGCGCTTAGCGAAGGCGGCATATTCTCCCTTTGCGCCTCCGCTGCCGTTCTCGACGACGACGCGATTTATTCGCACTCGCTCTGTTCCGCCGATTCGCGACGCCGCGTCGTCGCGCGAATTCGGTACTAGTTCACGCCGTAACGCGCAGAGAACTAGAAAGAATGGAATGGATGGGTGGTATACGGCAGGGGGAGAAGGAAAGGGAGCGCGAGGGTGGAAATGGAGAACGAGAGAAGGGTCGAAAGCGGCGGGAAAGGAGATTGGAGCAAGGCTTCGGCCAGAAAGAGAGAGAGAAAGAGAGAGAGAGACGATACGCGCGAGCGGAAGAGGCGAGTGGAGCGCGTGAGCGGCTAAGCGGCTAAGGGGTTGAAATCAAACGATCAAAATCGACGCACGATCCCGCGACACTTCCTCAAGCGAGTCCACCCCGACTTGGCTCGCGCGACATAAAAAATCGCGCAGAAACGCGCGGCGCGGCGTATCACGTCGTGCGTCGTGCTACTATCTCCGCCGCCACCATCAGCTCCCACCCCCGTCATCCCCTACTTCCTAGTAGCTCGGCGCTCGCGCGCGCGCGCACATTACTCTTTATTATGTCTACGATCAACGAGCCAGCCCATGGCGTTTTGGGAGTACGTTATTCCAGCGGGGAAGGGAAGGGGAGGAAAGAGAGAGGGAGAGAGAGGGGTGAATCTTTTCACTACTTCCGGCAAGAAGTTACAAGGACCAAGCAATATCGATAACGCCGATTGATAATGTCAGCTACTACCCCTAAACTAGAATTGCCGAAAGATTTTTCTCGGCCATTGCGATTTGTTTCGTAGAGCTTGGAGTCTCGTTGCGGTATCGGAAGATGGGAAAGGCAAGGGGATGGAATGGGGTACGTTGCGTGAGTAGAGTATAGGTGGCAGGTGGTGTGGATACGGGGCACGCAGGGGAAGAAAGGAGGGATAAAAGCGACAGAAGATGGTGGAGGGTGGAGAGGCTGCCCGGTACCGTTCCGTTTGGGGCGGGGGTGGCAGTCCCAACCTTACGCCACGTTACGGGAGTTTAACGCGGCGCAAGCCCGGTATCATTGATTTAACATATATCTATATCTTACATAAAGACAGCGAGAGCCTTTCCTGACGGCGAGGCGAGGTAACATCATATTATACTTGTCCAAGTACGGCAGAAATAGCGTTATGCGCGCGGATTGTATAACAATAGTTAGGATGTGAAAAATTTCCTTTTATCGGAGAGATTGTTTAAAGATAAAATTGTTGAGAATCGAATTCTAGATGCACATGGCAAAAGGCTAATATTATTGATCATATGTTGATTATCATTGAAAACATTTTATTTATTTAAGTATTAATATTAATATTTAAGTAAAATTTTTTATATAATATTTATATTTTTTTTATATAATTTTATAAAATATAGTAATAAAATAAGATTGATAAATAATTAGCTTATAATTTTTTGCAGTAAATACAATAATTTTTTTCTGAACAAAATCAAATAAAAATTCTGACTCTGACAATTAATAACTTTAATTATATTTTTAGGTAGATGAATAGAGAGAATAAAGAGACAAATATATACACGTATACTTTTTGTAACCAATCTTGTATTATGATTTTAAGAGATAAAATTTATGCAAATCTTTTTGTACATATACATACACAACACACACATATATTAATACTTTTATTTAAAAAATTGTTTAAATTCGATATAATTACCTTAGAAGAAGTAGAAAAAAAGCTTTTGTTATATATAAATGTTAAGATAAATACCGGTTCCTGATAAGAGCAATTCCTAAACGAAAAATATATATTTTTATTAATATTAATTTTTTTCTAATCCACATATTAAAAGACGGATTTATAAAATAAAGCGAAATATATATTTAGATTTTAATGAGAACATTTTGAATATAAAATATTAATTGTATTTAAAAAAAAAAACTTACCTAAATATATTCTTTTTTAGAATTATATTTTTTGACTAAAAAAAATAGGTATTCATTAAAAAACTTTCTAGTATATCTACTTTACAGATCTAGTCATATTGAAAAAATAATCATTTACAATTATAAATTGCAATATACAAACTTATAACGTTACATATCTTTAAATAGTAAATCTGAATTTAATAAAAGAGAATTTTTATATTTGTATGTATTTATATATAATTTATATCGTTTCCTCTATTTATACTTCTATCTACAAAATACGTTCCATTTACATTTTTACCTATGCATGCAAAAACAATGAGCATAAATATATGTGTGTTGTGTGTGGTGTAAGGATATTTATTTATTTCAATTTTAAAAAGAGTGAAAAACTTAGTTTCATTTATACAATTGTTCCTTATACACATATTCTATCATTTTTTCTATTATAACCATATAATTAATTTTTTTTTCATTCATAAAAGTATCCGTTCCAATAATGGAAAAAATTCTTACACTTTATAGTTACTATATCAAGAATTCAAAATACATCTCTTCGAACATTGGATAAGTCTTATATGTAGAAATTATACATGTAGAACAACAATTTACTAATTATAATAGATCGTTATATTTTCATCTAAATTTCGTTAGTTAGAAAAGAAATGTCTGAATATACAAATAATTAATATATGAAATAATGATTATATATTATACGATACATATCATATAATATATACATAAAATACATTCCAGAAGAGTTGTATTTTGAACATTTTAAAAGATATCCAATATAACTTCTATTCCTTATCAGATGATAATATATTGTACAAAAAAAAATATATGTATGAAATATTTTTTTAAAGAGTACAGAATTAATTTTTCTGCACATTTATCTTAACCTCAACTACATTCTATTCTATTCTATTAGATTGCAATATACATATCATCATATACATTCCTTAAATTACTTAATAATTTTGTGCGCGAATCAATAAAAATATAAAAATGATCTAAATGGTATCACATATTAATGTATTTTGCCAAGTTTTTATAATTTCCAGTTTTATCTATTGTATCAATCGTGTGATTTATTTTGTTATATCGCAATCTGCTATATATATCTGTACTATCGAATTGTTAAAGAGTTTAAAAACAAACTTTATAATTGTTTGTGGAATTATAGCTTAATTGTGTACAACAAAAATGAAAAAAATCACCAATCTTCTGTCTGTTACATTAGAGACGCTTAAAAGCTTTACAACTACATAATGAATAAATTAACTTATGTGTGTTATTCATTGCGATATTACTTCAGTTACGCGCATATTAACAATAGGTCGAAGTTCTTGCTGCGCATAATCCTCTGGTAACGGTAACTGAGATATCAGACGAACTAATAACTTTGTAACAGATCTCTTTTCATTTTTCTGCAATAACAATAGATTCCGAGCCAAATGTAAAGTCCTTTTTGCAATTTCGGCCTGACATAATCTAAAAATATGAGAAATTGCATTAATATAAATTGAGAAAATAATGGTTTAAAATGATATGTATTAACGCACCTATGTTTAGCAGTTGGGCATGGGAATTGATCAATCTTATGACACAAGTTCGTTAACCGTGGTTTTAATGCTTCTAACTGATAAGTTATTCCATGGTAATCCGGAGCAGATTTTAATAAAGTTTGAATTTCACTAGTTATTTCCATATATTCCCACAACAATTGTCCTTGATGTGCCCAATTATTAATTGTGCTACTACATTCGGCTGGTACTAATGTGATTAACAATGATTTCAAATATTCGTAGTTTTCTGAAAAATAGAATATTTTGTAAAATTGTGTTTGATTGAAATTGAATATCAAAAGATGACTTTACTAATTTCAATAATCTAGGAATATATCTCATCAATCTCTGTTATAATTCTGTTAACAGTTTGTCGACATAATTGGAATTAATAAATTCTGTATTAAATTTGTAATTTTTTGTAGATATAAATTTATAACAGACAAATTTGATAAAATTTGTTTAAGCAGATTTAGAACCTGGTGCACAAGACGAGATTAGATGTTTTTAGATTTTATATTGCATTTGAAGTAGCAGACTTCATTTATGTAGAAAATCGAAAACTTATGCAAAACTATATTTTTAGATCTTGTTTTGCATTCAAAGTATTGAATAATGTAGGAACTTTCAATTTTTCTAATATTTATAATATTAAAGTTAGAAATAAGTGATATTTGATGTTTGGTCAGGAGACATTCAATGACATTTCCTCCATACTATAATGTCATTGAAATCGATCCTCGAAAATCATCCTTAATTTAATTTCATCATTATTTATAATACATAATATTGATATATGAAAAAAATAAAATAATGATACCATTTATTATAGCATCAGCTGCCAGATGCTCTATAATAATTTCATGAGCTTGAGTCCACTGCTCAGCCTGAATATAATACCAAGCTGCTTCACCAAATCTATAAAAAATGAAAATTGCATGTCAAAATTCTATAAACATGATTTTTTTTAAATTAACATTTGTGTGTGTGTGTGTAGTAATTTCTTTTCTTTTTAAGTTTATATGAATATATTCCAATATATTCCACATTAGACTCCTTTAATTGATATTGAATTATAATGTCAAAGAAATTATGAATTTTTTTTTGCAAAATAAGGAACTTTTTTAAATGTAATCATTCATGTTTTAATTAATTAATGAATCAAAAAGAATTTTTATTAATTTATATTATACAGTAGTAGTTGCATTCAAAAAATTTATTTATTTGAATGAATTTCATAAGAAATTATATGATTTCTCACTTTTGATGTTATAATTCAAGATTGCGTTCCAAAATTTACTCCTTGGAATAAAATTTAGAATAGCATTTGATCAATCAAGACATTTTTGTTTCTTTTATTCTGATTGATCAATTGAATGCTACTTTACTAAGGAATAAATTTGAAATGCAACCCATATGGGTGCAATAAAAATATAAAAACTTTAATATTAAGTACCTCTTATTAATTCTACTTTTGATAGCTTTAGCTTGATGAATCCAAACTGACGATATACCAAGTTCTTCCTTCAGAAACTGTTCACGTTTCACGTATTCCGGAGAATCATCTATTTCTATATGACGTAATAATAGATCTTGTACAGCAATTTGTCGTCTAGACGAATCTCGTAAATGCAACATCACAAAGATTGCCCAGTGCCAGAGTCCATATGCTTCTAATTGGGTCGCAAAATTCGTATGCGTTAATGCGGCAACATGATCGGAAAGATGTGTATAACCCAGAGCTACGAGTATCTGTTGTATTAACCAGCTGCCAAAAAATGTATTATAAATGTGGAAAGTTAAATATAAATTGTGTATTATAAATGTGGAAAGTTAAATATATATTTTTTTCCATCTCAAATAAATTCAAAAAGTTATAGTTATAAAAGTTATAGTTAAGATGCTTAAATTTTTATTTTTATCATTTCTTCAATTTGATTGACAAAATTTATGATTTCTCTTCCTTTCATGCGTATCAGAACTGTTTTTTTTTCTAAGA